CTTAAACTAGACTCCTGAGCTATACCCACCGAAATGCACTAGCATTTCCATAACTCTCGTTCCCCTGTTTTCGTAACATGAAAAACTGAATATTATAAATAGACAATCTATCTCTTCTACTAATACTCAAAGAAAATTGATAGAGTATACAGGTTACAGACTATAGACTACGGCTCAGTATATATTATACTAATCTAGTATACTTGGAACCACTTATAACTTCCTTTCTTTGATTTACAAAATCCTCTCCCTCAAAAAGTATCGTCTTATTCGTCTCTTAACAAAGAGAATAAAGAAACAGAAGAAACATATACTCCTACTTGAATATCTATATCTATCTATATCTATATCTATATTTATACATCTACTATACATCTATTATACTATACTACACTACGAACCAAACCCAAATAAAACCCCAAACATAATCACCACCACTAGAAATATATAAACATTTTCGTAGACTTAGTTTCGTCTCGTCTCTCAAGTAGACATTATAAGATAGGATAATTACTTAGAAGTTAGTGCTACTGTATATTGTATATATTCACTCAGTAGAGGATTTGTTTGTTAGTCTTTGCTTGACCTGGTCCGAGAAGAATATTAATGTATAGATAGATAGCTGTTAAGATAGATATATATCAGAGTGTTTCAATCCAGCTATAAAATCGATTGAACGAATATTACCATCATATACATACTAGTCTAGTTACAATGATGATTTATTGGACTTTATTCAAGTTACTTATAATTAAACAGGCAAAAATTGACTCTCTCGATTTGAAACCCCCGAGTCATAATCAAATTAGGTATTAGTCCTCACTTATTTCTACTCGTACTCATACGAGTATTCACAGATTCAAATCACTTGGCTAGTCATACATGTATCAGGTATTGCTGGGAATTATTTATTATATATTATGTATATGAAATAAAATAAAATTAAGAAATTAGGAAATTAGCGAACGCTAGAGTCCAGCTCTAGGCGATCTTTTGATGTGATGTAAAGAAATAAGACTTACCAATCTACTTCTTTTTTCTTTCTTTTTTTTTGAAATGAGATACTCACTTACCTCTTCTGCTGTCTATGCGTGTGTGTGGGTGACTCACCTGCTCAATCTGCTCGATTTTCTGGTCGATCTTCTTGACTTCTTCACTGGTCTCTCCACCGCCCAATTCAAGACGTCGTCTTCTGAGGTATCATCATCGCTATTGCCACTCTCGTAGCTGTCGCTATCAACAACTGTCTTAGCCGATTTTGTCTCATGACGAGCTCTCTTGACGGGTCTCCTATCGTTGCTTTGCTCGGTCGATGATCCTATTTGTGCTTGTGTGGGGTCAAGATCCAAGATCTTGTCATCGATTTCGAACTCTGCATCTTGTTCTTCATCCACCTCGATTGTCTTTCTCTTGTTGCTCTTTGCCGGCGTGGGTCTCTTGATTGGTGTTACCAGTTCGGAGTCAGACGAACTTGTGGCGTGGGAACGACCTTGGGTTGCTTGTCTTCGTTGGTTGTTGCCTGCGACGAAAATATCAAGATTGTTCATGTGCTTGTCGATGGAGTTGGCATTGGGACGTCTGTCGCGTAAACTTTGTCGGTTGGCGGGTTCGAGCTCCAAGTGCTGGGCGGTCAATCGATAACTAAGGGTGTTCTCGTAGCTATAGTTGTTGATCACCATGTTTGGGTTGGCGTATTCTCTCTCTGCATTGCGGACGAAGCGTCTGACGATCTTCTTCATCTCGACATGATCTCGCGTGATCGCCATCTTGTTTCGTCCCTCGGGGAGGATACGATCGTCAGGCTGAATGTTGAAATTGGCGCAGAGATAGGGGAAGTTGAGGAACTTCTCTAGGCAGAAGAGATGAACATGACCAGCGTTGTGGAAAGGGTCGTGGACGACCGGGTCGGACGATTGCTCATCGAACGCGACTCGGTAGTGACCCTTGTGGATGGTGCCGTTGCGAACTGGGCAGTCTACAAATCGGCATTTGTCGGAGTTTTGGTGAGGATAGCGTGCGGCAGAGTCGGATGGGACGCTTTGGATCCAGAGCGTGAGTCCGGATCTCTTGGTGTGTCTCTCTCCTGTGATGTTGTGACCCGGATGGTTGAAGATGAACTCTCTCAACTGGTCAGCGGTGAGTTTGACGTGTGGGTTCAACTCTCCCTCTGGGGTGTACTGGAAAGGAACTACACCGGCGTGATTTGGGTTTCCCCAGCTCCGAGGTTGCTGTTCATGCGGAGTGTAAAATGCGGAAGGATTCAACAATTGGATGTTCTGACTGCGCTTATTCTTACCTTGTGTTGTCAAGTTGGGTTTGATCCATTTCTTTCCAGGTACTTTGGTGGGTCTGACGACTACTTCTGGTTTTTTCTGTTCTGACTCTGGTTCTGTGTCTGTGAGTGCTTGTGCTTCTGGATCCGAGTCTAATGCGACGGAGGTGGTGATACCCTTGCCCTTGGAGACCTTGCACTTCTTAGCTGAAGGTTGCTCGAGAGAAATGGGTTCGGTGTTATCGGCCTCGGCGATAAGTTGATCCAGCTGATCGTCATACTCTCTGCGTCGTTTCAAACCTTGATGAAGCGCCTCCATGACGTTTGGTGGCAGATGTCCCAAGGAATCAATGATGTGCAATGGATACGTTGGGCTGGGAAAGACATTCAAGATGTCGTGTCGGTAGGTCCCAGCATACTCGAAAGGAGCAGGGAAGTGTTGGACCGCTTGCATGTTGTTGGCTGACAAAATGTTGCTTGGGCCCGCGAAACTAACTGCTGCTGGAACGGGGTTGTTGTTGCCAGTGAAACCACTATTCAAGTAGCGAGGATCGACTGCTACATTGTTAGTCATGAAAGGAACGGGTAACTCAACTTGTGTGTGATTTGCTTGTCTCATGTTCGCCATTCGTCCATCGGCTTGTTGGTGGCCTACTTGTGGAGAGGCATCATCCAACTTTTCAACCGAGTCGTTGAGGAACTGCTCAAAGGTGAAGGTAGAAGGATCTTGACGAGGGGTTTGATCATAGTCGGCTGGATAAACGGGAGAGTGGAGCTCCACCTGATCGAGTATTTGGGATTGGTCGTCCCAGAGGTATTGGTATTGGTCGATGTTGTCAGACATATTGTTATTTAGCAGCTCAGCTGTACTAAATTTAGTGATTGTGTCGTTGATTGTATCGAGCGTAGTATCTCAAATGATGTGTATTTTATGATTGAAAGGTTGTACGAAAGGGAAAAGAGAGAAAAGACAATAGGGATTGTCACCGAGGTTATATGCTGAAGTGATCCTTTGTTTCTTGATTGTATTGTCTTTTCTTTGTACCTGTTCAGACAAAGAGACTTGCTAAACTAATCTACTACTCGACAAAGCAACTAGGATAATCTGAGTTGTTCACAAGAAAATAACAATAGGATTGAGGAAACCAACAAAGGAGGGCCATTCTCTTTGAACCCTTTGAATCAAGAATAGAAAACAACATCTGCTCCTCTGATCTCTAAAAATATTGCTAGATAGTTTCATAGTACCAGGATTGTGTCTCCGATCCTCATCATGCTCTGACCCACCTATGTAATGTAATGTGGCCAACGTTTGACAGCTTATTAGACAAAACTGGATGTCCTAAAGTTTGAACCATAATGACCAAATACAATCTGCATTTGACTGAATTGAACAGTATGAGCATTTTTACAGTACCAATAGTGTTCAACCATTCAAGACTGGGAAATTTATCAACTAAAAACACTGTTTGAGAATTAGCTGTTATTCCAACAGTATAATTGAGATAATTCAAAATATGGTATAAACGTTTATCAGAAGGTCTCCAAGATAATCAACACACAGCCGAAGCCGTTCAGAACAGGTCTGTGTATCTTGTTTGTAACATCATAATGTTTGTTCCCACAAAGGGGAGTAAAAGGAATTGTAGACAAAGAAGGTTGATAAAAATACATACCATGAGAACAAAGAAACTGTGAACATGAGTTGAGTAAGTCATGGACACAGCACTGTAGCACATATCAAACAATAAAACATTGCAGAGTTGTGAAAGTTGTTAAGAGCAAAGCTTTGTATTGAATTGGTGGATGTTGAAGAAGATTGAAAGGAAAGTTTTTATAGAAAAAAGAAGAGTTTTTCGAGGACATATGGTCTGTGCAGTATTAGCTTGATAAATTTATAGTCACGTGTTGACTTGAGGTCTACTTCTATACTACGGTGACCTCGAAATGGCTCAATGGTAAACTGGTCGGCCAATTTCATTTTTGTACTTTATCCGAATATCCGTACCGGTATCACGAAATGCAAACGGGGAGGTCGGTCCATCCAGAGTAATAGAATGTGAAGATCCCAAACTTATTCAGAATGCTTTCGCTGATCAAGTAATACTGATTTCACTGATTTTGAATTCGAGTAACAAGTAACCAATCATCATCATTTGCATCTACCTGTCCTTCTTCTACTCAACCCAACCTTCATGTTTCTATCCACTCACTATACTTTAATCCCTCCTTGAAACCTTAATTTGCGACTTTCTTTTAAAGATTTCTGCCCTGTTTGCGCATACCGCTTCGTAAAACACACGTTGAAGATGGAGGAGAATAATCTGGAGTTGCAGGCAAAGCTGCAGGAATTAGAACATGAGCTGGAGGTTAGTTATGGCGTTTCCAACAACGGGAGATATGTTTTAGCTGCGTCGCCTTCCTTCGCAATCTCATGCCAAATGCATGCAGGATGACATCGCCCGGGGTAGAAGAGATGGTTTCCAGAACCAACTTGCTGATACAACTTTTGCTTTAGGAAGGGGATATCACAGAGAAGGGGTACGTTTTCCCAACACTATGCTGAAACCATTCGGCATCTCATATCGTATACCGGTTCTGATCTCTCGAACACAGATATCAAAAGCGACGCACATTCTTACTTTCACAATACTCGGGCGCCTCACCGATAGCCGCGGAGCTGAAAGGGCTGCGCATACATGCTCCTGATGATAGCACACATTCCTTGAATGATGGTTCGCGCACCGCATCTCTTGCTGCCCTCAACTCGAACTCGAGAAGCGCCGGTGGGAGCGAATTATACCCCTTACAGAATTACGGCGCATCACAAATCCCCGATCAAACAGCTACAATGGCTAGCGATGTAGGAAGCTTTGGAGCCAACAGAGCACAAGATGGGCAAACTTTCTCCTATGCTGGCAGACCTCAGGATTTAAGGCTAGCAGTACACAATTCTACCCAACGGCATAGCTCTTATAGTCAGAACTCCTCATATCAACCCGGCTCTCCAGCAGGAGATTATCAGCAAGATCGACCGCATGAGCCAAGTATGAGAATGGGGTCGATGGCTTCTGGCACAAATTATGCTTTTAACCCGGCACACCAAACTGGCTATGTGGAACATCAAGGAGACGTCTACGACCAGAATCATGCAGGGACGATGATGGATTCTCATGGTACCATGCTTGGGGAGTCGCAACAAGGGTACTTCTCAGATTTTGCTGGACAGCAAGGATACGAGAATAATGGACCGAATGAATATGGTGGAGGGCCACATAGATATTCTTCTAGTGACGCATTCTCTCCAACAGCAGCAATGGCGCCACCAATGCTGACTACTAACGATTTACCTCCTCCCGCCGCCCTGGAGTATCAAATGCCCTTAGAGCCTCGGGATGTTCCATTCGCCGTTTTCGATCCACATGATAAAGATACCCCTATGTCTAAATTCGACAACATTGCGGCCGTTCTGAGGCATCGGGGGAAGGCGAGAGCAAAGATGCCAGCATACTGGGTGTTAGACAATAAAGGCAAAGAGATCGCTTCGATTACTTGGGAGAAACTTACCAGTCGAGCCGAAAAAGTTGCGCAAGTGATTAGAGATAAAAGTTCTCTCTATAGGGGTGATCGAGTCGCTTTGATATATCGCGAATCCGAAATAATCGAATTTGCCATCGCCTTACTTGGATGCTTCATCGCTGGAGTGGTGGCGGTCCCTATCAATGATCTTGAAGATTATGCAAAACTAAATACTATTTTAACCTCTACACAAGCACATCTTGCACTCACCACCGACAACAATTTGAAGACTTTTCAGCGAGATATTACAACCCAGAAGCTCAATTGGCCAAGAGGAGTAGAATGGTGGAAGACCAACGAATTTGGAAGTTGGCATCCAAAGAAGAAGGATGATGCACCCCCTTTGACGGTACCGGACTTGGCTTACATTGAATTTTCACGAGCCCCGACCGGCGATCTCCGTGGTGTAGTAATGAGCCATCGGACAATCATGCATCAAATGGCATGTCTCAGTGCTATCATATCTACAGTACCGTCTGGAGGACATGGCGATACTTTCAATCCTGAACTAAGAGATAAAAGTGGAAGATTAATGGCTGGCGGTAGCAGTCGTGGCGAGATATTACTCTCTTATCTAGACCCTCGACAAGGGATTGGTATGATTCTGGGGGTCTTATTGACAGTATATGGTGGGCACACAACTGTTTGGCTTGAAAGTAAGGCAGTTGAGACACCTGGTCTTTATGCCCACCTCATTACAAAATACAGGGCAACTCTCATGGTGGCTGACTACCCTGGTCTGAAGAGAGCAGCTTACAATTACCAGCAAGATCCTATGACGACGCGAAATTTCAAAAAGGGAATGGAGCCTAACTTTCAAAATGTCAGATTGTGTCTGATAGATACTCTGACAGTCGATAGCGAATTTCACGAAGTGCTAGCGGATCGCTGGTTAAGGCCGATGCGAAATCCTCGTGCGCGGGAATTAGTCGCTCCTATGTTATGTCTGCCAGAACATGGTGGTATGGTAATTAGTATGCGAGATTGGTTGGGTGGTGAAGAACGAATGGGGTGTCCCTTGAAACTAGATATCGGATCAGATAGCGGTTCTATTGAGGAAAAATCCGAAGAAAAAGAAAAGTCGCCTGGTAATGGGTTCGGAAGTCTCATAGGAGGCGGAACGGTAGCTCCAGCTGAACAAAAAGGAAGGACAGAATTGAGTGAAGTTCTACTGGATCGGGAAGCACTAAAGACCAATGAAGTTGTTGTGGTGGCTATTGGCGAGGAAGCGCGCAAGAAAGCTGGTAGCGAACCAGGGACAGTCCGTTGCGGTGCCTTTGGTTTTCCAATACCTGACGCCACTTTGGCGGTAGTGGACCCCGAAACTGGACTCCTAGCCTCTCCACATTCTGTAGGCGAAATCTGGGTAGATTCGCCATCGCTATCAGGGGGATTTTGGGCCCTACCGAAACATACGGAGCAGATCTTTCATGCTCGGCCATATAAATTTGAGCAAGGTGATCCAACTCCGATGATGGTCGAGCCTGAATTTCTTCGAACTGGTCTTCTTGGAACAGTGATTGAAGGCAAGATTTTTGTTCTTGGTCTATACGAAGATCGTCTCCGTCAGAAGGTTGAATGGGTTGAGCACGGTCACGAAGTCGCAGAGCATCGTTACTTCTTTGTTCAACACATAATAGTGAGTATCATGAAGAATGTTCCCAAGATCTACGACTGCTCCGCATTTGATGTATTTGTCAATGATGAACATCTTCCGATAGTTCTGTTGGAGTCGCCTTCCGCATCAACAGCGCCTGCTACATCTGGGGGACCTCCACGTCAACTCGATACTGCGCTTCTGGATTCCTTGTCAGAGCGCTGCATGGAAGTTTTGATGCAAGAGCATCATCTAAGAGTCTATTGTGTTATGATCACAGCGCCAAATACTCTTCCAAAGGTTTTAAAATGTGGCCGAAGGGAGATTGGTAATATGCTTTGTCGTCGAGAGTTCGATCTTGGCAATCTTCCTTGTGTGCATGTAAAATTCGGAGTTGAACGAGCTGTACTTAATCTGCCTATTGGTGTGGATCCTATCGGAGGTATATGGTCACCACTTGCTTCCCAAGCTCGTGAAGATGTATTATCTCCTGGTGACAAACAATATTCTGGAATTGATCGTCGCGAAGTGGTAATCGATGATCGAACTTCTACACCTCTAAATAACTTTCTAAGCATAGTTGACTTGTTACAATGGCGCGTGGCGCGACAAGCTGATGAACTTTCCTACTGCACCATAGACGGCCGAGGTAAGGAAGGAAAAGGAATCACCTGGAAAAAGTTCGATACGAAAGTGGCCGCGGTAGCTATGTATCTAAAGAACAAGGTCAAGATAAGACACGGCGATCACTTGATACTCATGTATACGCATTCGGAAGATTTTGTGTATGCAACACATGCATGTTTCTGCTTAGGAGCAACAGCTATACCCATGGCTCCCCTTGACCAGAACCGTCTGAACGAAGACGCACCAGCCTTCTTACATATGGTTTCAGATTACCATGTAAAGGCTGTTTTGGTCAATCAAGAGGTTGACCACCTAATGAAACAAAAGGCTGTTTCGCAGCATCTAAAACAATCGGCACAAGTTCTCAAGGTATTGGTGCCGAGTATATATAATACTTCGAAGCCACCTAAGCAAAACAATGGTTGTAGGGACCTTGGCCTTACGATGTTACCAGGTTGGGTTCAGCCAGGATTCCCAGCTCTTGTTTGGACATATTGGACTCCTGACCAACGTAGGATCGCTGTACAATTAGGCCACGATACCATCATGGGTATGTGCAAGGTGCAAAAGGAGACTTGTCAAATGACAAGCTCGAGACCTGTCCTAGGTTGTGTGCGAAGCACAACTGGCTTAGGTTTTATCCACAGTGTTCTTATGGGTATATTCGTTGGGGCCCCAACTTACCTAGTCTCTCCCGTCGAATTTGCTCAAAATCCTGTATCGCTTTTCTTAACCCTTTCGCGGTACAAAATCAAGGATACTTATGCTACACCGCAGATGCTCGACCATGCAATGGCCGTCATGCCAGGCAAGGGGTTTACCCTTCATGAACTAAAAAATATGATGATTTCCGCTGAAGGAAGACCTCGAGTTGACGTTTTCCAAAAGGTACGCCTCCATTTTGCTGCGACTGGTCTTGATCGCACTGCCATCAATACAGTTTATTCGCATGTTCTGAATCCAATGATTGCGTCTCGTTCATACATGTGTATTGAACCAATTGAGCTATGGCTAGACACTCAAGCATTACGCCGGGGTATGACATACCCCGTTGACCCAGAAACCAACGCAAAAGCACTCATGGTTCAAGATTCTGGCATGGTTCCTGTATCGACTCAAATAGCTATTGTCAACCCAGAAAGCCGTTGTCTTTGCCACGAAGGTGAATATGGTGAGATATGGGTCGAGTCAGAAGCATGTGTCAGATCTTTCTACGGCTCCAAGGATGCTTTCGATTCGGAGAGATTTGATGGGCGTACTGTTGATGGCGATCCTAACGTACAATACGTCCGGACAGGAGATCTAGGTTTTCTACATAATGTTAGTCGACCTATAGGGCCTAATGGTGCGCAAGTCGAGATGCAGGTATTGTTCGTTCTAGGCAGTGTAGGGGAAACATTCGAAATAAACGGCCTTAGTCATTTCCCGATGGATATTGAGTGCTCTATAGAGAAATGTCATCGTAATATCGTGCCGGGAGGATCGTAAGTTGCTTCATATTGATTCATTGAAACCATCAAAACTAATACTATCTAGTGCCGTCTTCCAAGCAGGCGGACTTGTCGTTGTGTTGGTAGAAGTAGGAAGGAAATCATATCTTGCCTCCATCGTACCCGTTATCGTCAACGCCATTCTCAACGATCATCAAATCGTCGTCGATATCGTCGCTTTTGTCAACAAGGGCGATTTCCCTAGATCCAGACTTGGAGAAAAGCAACGGGGCAAAATTCTAGCTAGTTGGGTTACACGTAAAATGCGTACAATGGCACAATTTGGTATCAGAGATGCTGAAGGGGGACTCTCAGATGTTACCGAGACCATGGAGCCACGCAGCGGTATCGCTAGTGTTCGAAATGGCAGCGTAATTGCGAGCAGTCTCCGCAATGTTGAGCCCGCTCCTCACATAGTTGAGGAACAAGAACGCGAGCGTCACCGTGTGGTGTCTCAACATAGCTTCGCTCCTCTCCCAACTGGAATATCTGAAATGCCAGCAGATAATTACGATGACCCTCCAATGAGATCATCGAATGAAGCAAACTTTGGCATGAGACATAATGACGACACGCCCCCTGCAATTCCCCGACAGAATAATTTCGAAACCCCGAACAATTACTTCGATGGTGGAAAAATCAATTTCGATAGTCCGTATTCCGATTTTATGGTTCCAGGGTTTGGTCCCACTGCAGGTGAACCGCCGAGGATTGGACCAAAACCGGGTTTGGAGATGGATACGGGTATGGGTACTCAACACGGTGTGCAGGACGCCGTTGGGGGGGATGGGAATGATCGGTGGAATTTACCAAGTCAGCAACAGCAGCCGGGATCTAGGGTTGGAGGGGGATTGAGGGTGCATAATATGGATGATGATGACGATTGGAAGGATACGCTAATGCACTATAATCGTGCTAATCAATAGAGAGATGGGAGCGTGAACGATTGAGGTGCATATGGATCTAATTACCGAGAGGAGGAAAAATGGGATGGGGGATGGAGCAGCGAGAGGAGAAGGTGTGATTTATAGAGAGAGAGAGAGAGAGAGATGAATGCAGGGAATTTAACACCCTCATACTCGAGTAACTGTTATTTTTTTTGGCCATTTCCCGAATAGGGAGTTGTTGCATGGATTGATAGGCACTTGGGAAGAGCGAGATCATTGGAATGCAGCGCTTTGATTATAAGACGTCTATGCGATATGAACAAAAGCATTATTGTAACAGCAATTTGTAAATTTGACAAGACAATCAATCATCATATATCATATTTGTCTGTATGCACTGTAGTGTAAATGATTCGGGATTACGAGTATAGAGCTAAACGTGCAGTCTTCTTTGACGACATCTCTAATTCAATAGGTAGTTTAGTTGGTGATAAACCCCTTCCTTGTATACATGTATATGGCATGTATGCATCAAATAATTTGGTGCAGTAGTGTACAGTATTTACCGGGTTTGCCGAGTTCTGAAGGTGGGAATTGAAGGAATTGAATGATGCTCGAAATAATAGTAAAAGTAGATAGATGGGAACTAACTTGCTATTATATATATATATGATATATGATATATGATACGGTAAGAAGAAGTATAGTGAATTGATGTCGAGATATCTTTATACTTTATACTACTCGAGTATATATAATAATTGTACTAGTCACGTGGAAATCCTTACCTATGGGAATTCAGCTCCTTCCTAAAGTGGATTTAACCGCTGATTCTCAAAAAGTCATACTCTTCAATAAATATTATAAAAGTGACTATATAAGATATAATAATTTTCTTTTCATCAATTAATAGTAAATCAAGTTAATTAACTGACAAATGTAATTTGATCTTTAAAAATTCATTATAAAGCTTTTTTTGTTATATTGAAAGTTGATGTCATTCTAGATTGGGCACAGATCACCCAAAAGGAGCTTACCACAGTGAAGGGGATAACATATTTACTCGATCCGTACAATCCTAAAACTTTATGTTTCGAAAACAAAGAAAATCGGAAAAGCAACACTTATCGAATACAATGTATCAACAAAGGCATTGGAGTTGAAATGCATCGAAGTATTTCGTGCGTGTCAGAAGCAGCTTCGGGGGACAAAGAGAAGGAGAGGAGTTAAAGATTAAAAGGTTGGCCAGATTAGACTCCCGAACACAACATAGATCTATTTATTGCTTGAGGAATGTGAGAAAGTACACGAAGCAATTAATATACAGAACGAAAAGGACTAGAAAAGACTCGAAGAGATTCAAAGAGAGAATATAGTTTACTAACAGTATTTATAACTCGAATCTCATCCTTTGGTTTTTCTTGGATTTTTTATATCGATTTATTGAAAAAGAAAGGAAGATGATGGACAATTCAAAGCAGGATGTCGAGGGTAGTCCTGGTACTTCTTTCCAGGTTATTGTTTTGGTGAGTGGGTTTTGCTTTATTTTATACTTGTGTTTATGTAATGTTTGTTTGCTTGTTTGTCGTTTTGTTTCTTCGGCTTGATCTGGAGACTGCATGAAGGACTGTGTCAAGTGTGCATGAGGGGCGAGGGGTGCGCGTATATCATTCGTTTGTATTTGATCCAGTGGATGACTTCTTACTTTTAGTTGATGGCGTTGGTTAAATGGCTTTGTTCGGTTGTATACTCAAGTCTGGGTATTTTCCCAGTATGGAAATCTAGGAAGGGTCACTTGGGCTCATACTGTTTCGGTAGGAAGGTTTAAGTGTCTCTCTTATTCTTAGCTGGGGAATCTATTGCCTTTTAAACTTTCAATATCCTTATTTGACTCAAGTATCTGTCACTACACTACTCTCAAGACCTTCAATTCAGGCTATTCTCCACATCTTTGCGATGTGAAACATCCGCGAAAGGAAGAAAAAGCTAACAATTAAATCCAATAGGGAGCCGGCGGAGGACCTATGGAAGATAACTGTACTTCATTTTTAGTACGATCAATGGCACAAGGATGGAGTAAAGGCTCAATTCTCGCTGTAGATACCGGAGTTCATCTATCAGCCATCGATCGACTTCTCGAGCAATACACTCAAATACCACCCGAACGACCACACACACTTCAAGGAGGCCCCTTTGCAGGATTGATTCTCCCCAACAAATCTAGCGAGGCAAACACCGCCCACATAGCACGTAATCTTATCGGTGCTCATCTCATTACCCATCCCCATCTCGATCATATTGCAGGTGGTATCATCAGCACCGCAAGTCCTAGTTCCAAAGCTAGAGTGATTGCGGGATTGGCAAGTACGATTGAGGCGTTGAAGAATCACATTTTCAATGATGTCATTTGGCCGAATTTATCGGATGAGAATGGTGGGGTGGGTTTGGTGACGTTTAGGAGGTTGGTCTCGGGGGGTTCGTCGGTTTTGGGGGTTGGGAATACTAAAGGGTATGTAGAGGTTGTGGAGGGACTAGGTGTGAAGTCTTGGGGGGTTAGTCATGGGATTTGTATTGGGGAATTTCCTTGTACGTATTTCCCCATCATGCTTCGTGGCAGGTTTTGCTTTGAGACTGGAAGTTCTTTTGAGATATTACTATTACAGTGTTGTCGGATCAGATATCTATCTCGCTGCACGAGTTACTTTACATTTTCCACCTGTATACATACCGTACTAACCATACCTCCTTCCCACAGATCGTTCAAACAGCGAAATAGCCAGCACCCCCACCATAATATCCAGCCTTCATTCCGCCAGTACCCACGGCCCAATCTCAAGTCCCGACGACGACGACCACCAACGCCGCATCTGCACCAGCTCCGCATTCTTCATCCTTGACTTTGCCAGCGGGCATGAAATTCTCATCTGGGGCGACGCAGAACCCGATTCCATCTCTCTCTATCCACGCAACAAGCAAGTATGGGCCGATGCCGCACCCAAGATTGTACGTGGGACCCTGAAGGCGATTTTTATCGAATGTTCCTTTGACGATAGTCGAGCCACTGAAATGTTGTTCGGACATTTCGCCCCACGCTTCTTGATTGAAGAATTAGAAGTGCTAGCCGCCGAAGTAGAAAGATGTCGCGATGAATCTCAATCTCCTCGTCGACAACGAGATCGAGATCGAGAGCGAGGTTCCCCCGGCTCGCCTACCGATTTGGACTACTTCCGAAAATCCATTTCCATCCGAAAAGAAAAAAGAGGGCTAGGCGTGCGTCCTCCACCGATAAATACCCCTTCCTATGCCATTCATTCGCAAGGACACCGTAGGGCTTCGGGTGATGGTAATGTCTTTCATGAGGAAAATGCACTGGAAGGGGTCAAGATTGTAATCATACATGTGAAGGAGAAAATGGAGGATGGGGAGGAGCCGAGAGAGGTTATTTTGAGGCAGTTGAAGGCGTTTGAGAAGGATTCGAAATTGGGGTGTGAGTTTGTGGTTAGTGAGAAGGGGATGAATGTTTATTTGTAGAGGGAGGGGAGATTGGGGAGTTTAGGGATTGGAAATTGTATGTATCATGAGGAGGACTGGGATAACGGATCGGGTGGTTTGGGAGGTTTGTGCGGGTAGGGCATTTGCTTGCTTTGTTGTATAATATGCCATCTGGGAGGGTTACAGGTTACGTATCATGACTGTTGGCTTGGAGCAATACATAATATACGTGGGTGGCTGGGTGGCTGGGTGGCTATATCCGTTGGGAGTCTCACGACAAGGCGTATAGGTAGGTACAAGGTGTTTTTGAATGGGCTGCTATCGGGATTCAATGCGATTATAATGTACAGTTGCTTTGAGTTTCTATATCTAAAAGACTTTTCGTCTGGTGCTCTATAATTCCCCCATGGTTCCCCGAAAAAGATCTCTATATCTTCTCTCTCAATTGCACAGCGATCTACTGTCCCTCAAGCTTAGCCTTCACCAATTTCTTCGCCTCCTCATCCTTACCAACCGCCGTATCATAATCCACACGAGGAATCTCCACCCCCTCCGTAGTCCTTCCATAGGTAATCCCACCCAGTCTCGAAATCGGCTTCAAGACCGCTGGATCCACAATATTCTTCTCTTTATTTATCGCATTTTCCCTGACCCAAAATCTCGTTCCCTCCACCACAGCCAGCACCCCTGTTTTCTTCCCGGGCGTAGCTCTACTCTCAAATTCCTTTAGACTCTCCAATTTTGCCTCGACACTAAAATGCGCTTCTGCCACCCGACTCGCTTTTACCGTCTTACACCCTGCTGGGGTAAGTCCACTGAATGCCCATTCCGACTCGCCATATGGTGCATTTATCGACGTTGCATTCGCCGCCTCGATGAAATGCTCCGATATGATATTAATGGTGCATTCACCCGTCTCTTTCAAATTCCTGAGCGAATCCTTGGCATTTTCCATTCCCCCCGCATACCCCAATGTGAACAGCGGTGGATCATGATTAATCATGTTGAAATAGCTGAAAGGGGCTAGATTAGTACTCTTGCCATCGGCACTGCGGGTGCTGACGAAACCGACGGGTCGCGGGATGATGGAGGATATGAGTAGCTTGTAGTTGTAGACGGCGGGGCGCCCTTCCTCGTACGGATCGATTTCAATGTGCGGGATCTTGAGTGAGGCGCCTTGGTCGTTGGCGCCAGATCCGAGTTTCCAGGAGGGCAGGACGGTTTGGGTGAGGGACCAGGATTTGTCGGCGTCCCAGGGGGAGCGTGTGGCTTCGACGGATTTGAAGTCGGGGTGTGGGTTGCGGTTTATGAGTTTTTCGGCGTCATGGCGCTGTTGGGTTGTGGAAGACATGGTGCGGTTTCTTGATAGGTGACGGATAGGTATTGAGCTGTTGATAATATGGAGGAGGTTTGGATGGAAGAGAGGGCTTCTGATGTGTTGGGTTAGCAAACTGGCCATTTGATGGGGGTTACCGGTCTGGCAGAGTGAAGCTAATGAGCAGTGGGATATATACCGAATTGAATTTCTAAACAGAGTTCTTACTCTCAAACTTCTAATGACATTGACGAGATATATAGGGACAGGAAACACAACATATATACCTAGTCAAAACGCAAACTTAAAGAATTCCCACTAATCCATTTGGTAATCCCGCAATATTTACCTATTCCGCCATATATTTCGACACAGCGGCTTTCCTTCCGCTCCCCGTATATAAAACTGTGGGGTTAGAATTAGGTGATAAGGCTGACCCCGCACCTGATAAGGGGGGAGCTCGGGAAGCTATGGCATGGGAAGGAACGTGACCAGAATCGGGCGAATAGTTACATTACATTTAAAATGGGATAATATTGTTGCGCAAACACGATATTATGAAGATAGAAGTTATTGTCCTTGAAGCTATTCAGAGGAATGTAATAATCGTCTGATGCTTTGAAATCAATACAATACCTAGTAGATTGATTGGTCATCATATACTATTTTCCTGACAAATACAGATTGGGTTTGAGGATATATCTTTCTATCGACAAGCACATCACACCAGTATAACTCTCCAACAAAAACACTGACAACTTCAGATCACGGGAATTGCAACTACAAAGTAATCATCACACAAGACACAACCCAAGAAGCTTCACAAAAAATGGATTCCCTACCCTCTCAACTCTCCTCCCTCGAGCTCTACCTAGCACCCGGTGTTCAAATCTTCAAACTCGGGGATTGGAAACTTCAATCTGGAAAGGAGATTCCCGATGCACATATTGCTTATAAAACATTTGGAGATCCAAGTTCTCCCGCCATAATCTATCCTTCTTGGTTTTCGGGAGGTGAGTTTTGAGTCTCTTATATCCATTCCATCTGGCACTATCCCTCTCTACTCGAGTACATCGAGCATGTCAATCTAGGGGTCACGATTTAAAGATGAGAAATAGATATCAGACACTAACACCAAACAACACAGCAATCGCGGACAACGAATGGCTCATTGGAGAAGACCAAGTATTAAATCCCCAAAAATACTACATTATCATCACCGCTCTCTTCGGAAACGGAGAATCAACCGTGAGCTCCCTCCCTCACCTTCTCATTCCCCAATCTATCTCTACTCCATCTCCAATACTTACACCCCACCCCTAGTCCCCCTCCAACTCCCCCCTAACCCCCTTCCCCAAAATAACATTCTACGACAACGTCCGCGCCCAACACACCCTCATAACCACGCACCTCAACATTACCCACGCCCGCGCCGTACTTGGCTGGTCCATGGGCGCCGGCCAAACCTATCAATGGGCTACTACATATCCCTCATTCATGGACATATGCATTCCCTTTTGCGGAAGCGCCAAGACTGCACTTCATAATCAAGTTTTTCTGGAAGGTGTTAAATCTGCATTGTTAGCTGCAAAGAGTATTTCGAGCGCGGGGTTGGAGGGAGTAGTGGTTATGAAGGGGGATGAGGAGATCAGGGTTTGGAGTCAGGAGGAGAAGGAGGTGGGGTTGAAGGCTTTTGGGAGGGGGTATGCGGGGTGGGGGTTTAGTCAGGTGAGTTGAGTTTGTGGGGTGTGGATGTGGATGATGATGGTGATGGTAGTGTTTTGATATTTTGATTATGTGCGGATAGATGGTGTAATGAGGATACTGATACTGATAGGATTCTAGGCTTTCTACCGTGAGGAACTCTTCAAGCGTGCCCTTGGATATAAAAATCTAGAGGATTTTATGAAGAATTTCTGGGAGAAATGGGCTCTTTCGAAAGGTATGATTTTCTTTCCTCCTTTTCCCATTCTTCCCATTTTCCCTCTCCTCTCCACCTTTTCATCCCCCCAACTATTTAATTCTCCCAACTCTTTCTTTCCCCAACTATTCCCACCCAAACTAACATCTCCCCCCTCCACCCCAGACCCGGAGAACCTCCTCACAATGCTCTACACCTGGCAATCCGGCGATGTCTCCGCTCAATCCCCATACAACGGAGATTTCCCTGCCGCTATGAAAGCTATTAAAGCCCAGATGCTTGTTTTACCCGGGAAGACAGATTTATATTTTCCGTATGTTTTTTCTCATCATTCTCCATCCCGTTCATCCCCCAACCCCCTCATAAAATCCTCCCCCATTCCCTCTCTCCCGTCCTTCCTCCCCCTTTCCCTCCTCGCCTCTCCCCTTCACCTCCTCCATCTTCCTCGCCTCTCCCCTCCTCTCCCTCTCCTCCCTCTCTTCCCTTCCTCCATTCCTTCCCTCTCTCCCGTCCTTCCTCCCCCTTCCCATCCCCTCTCTTTCTCCCCCAACACCCCCCACCCCCCCTTCCATTTCTCCCCCTAACACACCCCACCCACAGACCCGAAGATTCCCTCATCGAAATATCCCTCATGAACCCCGGAATCGGTACCCTCGACATATTCCCCAGTATATGGGGACATTGGGCTGGAGGACCCGGTGATTCCAAGGATGATGTTTCATGGTTGAATCAGAAATTGGAGGGGGTTGGACTTTGATTTTTCGTGATGTGAATGAGGGGATGTGTGATGTGGTGTGGAGTGGATGGGGAAGAGGAGGGGAGGAGATGTGGATGACTGATGTGGATGGATGATGTGGGTGATGTGGATAGAGTGAAGAAAGTAAGTAGGTAGGAAGGTAATCAGACCCAAGCAGACTAAGCATACCCTAGCAGACCAAGTGAGACGAGCAATACAACACAATGCAATGAATTTTCAAAAGTCCTCGGTATATGTATGTATACAGTATTGCATAAAATCGAGGTACAGTAAGTAGTGACTCAATCTACATCAACATCTACATCCCCATCCCCTTCCCCATCCCCAGAACCGAGGTATTCGAGCCAAAAATCGGAGATTACGAATGATTAATTCATATGCTTCATGATTATCATTTGTATACATGTATGTAAGTATAGATCCTCTCCCTACCTAGTATGCAATCTTACTATTTATTACTCATGCCTAAAATAAATATCTCCCTAGGTATCTCCATATCTCGAAAACCCCATTGTATACGCCGTATCCCTAAGCCATGTGTTTGTTTGTCTTTGGAATGAGAAATGCTGTTTCATTTAAGCATCCTATCCAAGACATCCTATCCAAGCATCCAATCCAATCCAATTCATGTACTCTCCAAAGATCCTACCATCCAACCATTCAACCGGCATGTATTATATCATCCCCTTTGTACTCTCCACTTACACATCCGCATTCCATTTACTCACGGGAATTTCCCCATTTCCATTTCCATTTCCAAGTTCCACCGGTACACTCATCGGCCTCTCGTTCTCCCCACTAATCCCAACCCCCTTCAAACTCGCCTTCCCCTCACTAAACCCACTCCGATGACTACCACTACCCATACTAGCCCCCCTCTTCCTCGCAGTCGCAGTCACAATATTCTTCCCTTCCAACTCCTCCCTCACCTCCCTCAGTATTTCCTCTCCAGGTCCTCCCAACCTCCCCAGTCTCCCCACCAACAGCGTATTTTCCCTCTGTACACTACCCACTAACCCCCTCAGATCCTCCTTCTCTCTCCTCAACCCCTCGATTTCTGCTTTAAGATTTGCATTCACCACTTTCCACTCCTCACCTTTTTCTTTCTCTTCCCTCTTCCTAGTTTTCTCCTCTTGTTTCTGTTCCTCTCTTAACCTCTTTTTCTCCAGCTTCTCCATTTCCTTCCTATATTTCTCTTCTCTCTTCTTCACCTCTTTCTCATGTTTTTCCTCTGCTTTTCGAATTGCTTCTCTTTCTTTCTCCCCATCCTCATTTTTCTTACCCGCTTCTTTTTGTTTTGTTTTCTCGAGCTTCTCTTCGAGTTTTCGTTTCTGGTCTTCTAGTTTTTGTAACTCTTTATCTTGATGAAGAGTTATTTTTTGAACGGCCGCAGAATCTTGTGATGATGCTTTTCTGAAAGAAAGGGCGGATTCAAAACTATCGATGGTGGATTCGCTGGTCATGGATGCTTCGGATATAGATCGCGAGCGAGTTATGGGGGCGGAGAATTGAGCTGAAGAAGGTTCACTAGCAAGAGGTAGATGGTCGACTTTTTGAACCAAGGATGCTTCACAGGCATGAGGCAGATGGTCTGCGATAATTGCTGGTGCATATGGGGCTATTAAAGCTCCGGCTGTGGTTACTGCTCCTGCTACCATATCGTATAATCCACCGTCGTGTGCTGCTGGTGCCGCGGTTGCCGCGATTGCTGTGGTTACTTGCTGATCTATCGGTCCCACAGCCACAGGTGAAGTTCGTTCTGTCTGACTATTTATACCTGCAAGATGTCCATTTGTTTGGAGATTATGCAGATCATTTTCGTGGTTATGGTGATGGTGACGATGATGATGCTCATGATTTTCGGTATCTACACCTTCATTTCTCTCAATAGGTTCTTCGTCATCACTATCCAAATCCTCGATTGTTTTTGAACATGCCCAATCCAAGAATTTGCCTGCATCGGAAACGATTGCTGATGGTGTTCCACGATCAATCATAAATCGCGGTACACTTCCACCAGGATCACTTCTTGTAACCATGATCCATTCAATAGGATTTTGTTCCCATTCATCGTCCTCACTTGGCGCTGCGGCATTTTCCTCTTTTACGGCTCGAGGAAGGTCACTATTTGAACGTGAAGCTTTTTCATAAGTATTATCTCCTTCCTCTGTTGTAGATAAATCATATTTCTGATGGGCATTTCTCAAAACAGCCTCCTTTCCTAAATTGGAACCCGATCTATCTCTTGAACAACCCTTTGTAAAATCTGATGCTGATGCTGATTTCTTTGGAGGTGCTTTCTTAGTTGGTATTTCTCTAATAAATTCAACAGATTCGTAGTATCCTCTAATATATCCTTCCCGTGGTGGCGCATCCGGATGCTGACATGGTTTCGATATGACCATGAAATGGCGGGGTACTTCTGCATTATTTTGTTCTTTCAATGCTTGATCGGAGGAGATGAACATGGTGACAAAATCTCTGGGGGTTGTTGGACCTGGAAACTGTGCAGATAGTAGATATACTAATACTTATTAGCTCTTGACATCTCTTTCCAAAGTGACATAAAGATTATACCTTCCATCTTCCCGGTCCCAGCAACAGTATTGTACGCCACTCTCTTCTCTCCACCAATACCTCTAATGTTACCCTCTCCCGGACCACCTTGAACCTTCATGGTTTCCGGAAACTCCCTCTCTAAACCTCTCTTCCATTTTGTAAATCCCAATCCCTCATGTACACTCCTCCTCGCAAACCAAGTCCCCTTGCCATCTTTTCCCTTGCATGAATATACACTTATACCCAATGGATTATCAGCCGGCTTCAATTTCACTTGTTTCCATTCCTTCTGCAGAACTTCGATATCGTGTGGCGGAGGCGGGGGCCTGGCATCAGATATCGAGATATCGGATGCGGATGAGGCAATAGAGGAGGTGGTATTTGATCGCGAGCGACCACTAGAAGTTTCGACACTGTCGGATATGGGGATCGAGTCAACTATCAATTGACCATTATTGAAGGCATCTGATAGAAATGGCTTCAGATTATCAATAGGGGTTTCGTCGTAGCTCACGATACCAAGCGATTTGAGAGCTTGCTGAAGAGCTGCCATTTCGTTTGCTGTTTGATGTAAAGCAATTAATTTCGGGCGCTGAGATGTGAATTAGGATTCAAATAGGATAGAATAGATGGCATTTAATAAAGGTTATGCATGTATTGGTGAGAAGATATAGCTGGGTATATGTACAGTCGCCGACTAATAGTAGTCAAAGTCAAATATGTATAAAGTAACATGATTGGTCTAGCTTGAATTATTAATTGGGAACTTAGATTTTTGAAACGCTTGACGTCATTTCTCGGAGAGCAGATAATAAATATACATTGTGAACATGTGAAATCACACACGGATATTCAAACGTTTGGATAGGAATCCCGAATACGGACAGCGTATGCATACTAGACGAGAATATTTATGTTATATTATATATTATTCTTGTATTTAAAGGAGGCGCTCTGCCTAACAACCAATGATTAGCCAAACAAAAATTGACTTTGTCCATTTACCAAAATCCAATGATGTTATACCCAACGCCTCGCTCAAAGGGTATGATGCCGGTAATGCTAATTAAGGATGTTAAGACCATCTCAGTATAAACAAATCTTCTCCCATTAACCAAATGCCACATGGCCCTCTCCTCGTGTGAGCAAATCTTGCTCTGCTTTACAGCTACCACAATAGTCTTGATGCCACTTCCTGAGTTCGTTCAGGTTATCATCTGCGTGGAGAATTTCTTGTCGTAAACCTCCCGTGACTTTGCCAGTTGGTAGGGTATTTGTTCGATTCTCTCGCAATATCATTTGAGCTTGTTTGCATCGCATGTTCTCGTCCAGGAGCCAATTCTCCCATTCCGCCTTAAGCACGTTCCTCTCGATATTGTTGACCACTCGCATAGCAATTATTAGGTCGTGTCTGTAAGATCCTAGATGCTGACGAGTTCTTCGAAGTCTTTTAGCAGTTGATTTTGTTGATGTCTTGCCGAAAGGTGTCCCTGCCAATTCATAGGGAGCATTAACATCTGTAACATTCGCAATTTCCTGGAATTGTGTATAACTATTCAAAACTATTAGCTTATGTTAAAAGTTTTGCGGTGAAAGATGCCTACCATTTGCTCTGATACCGACCTAGGACATCTGTCGATAGACTATTCACAGCCTCGTCAAGATCTTTCAAATAAATTGCTTTGCTCATGCTTGGATTTGGTCCAACTCCCATTCTACTCATGAATTTTGCTGCATTCCGCTCAGTCCACCATTCTGATGTATCGCGGCCAGTAAGGAATGCGTTTGCCAAGACACTTAACAACAATGCAATCAAGATAATCGTGTGAGCACTGGATATCTTCCATATAGACCGAAATACTGCAAAAGTCCACATCATCACTGAAGATATAACACTTTCACCAAACGAGCTTAGTGTCTCAAACAACATGTTTGTGAGTGTACGCTGCTTGATCTGTGGTCGTTTGGACTTACTTGCGTCGTTGGCCGAGAAGAGTGAAACTGTTGTCTGGTGACCCACATGTCCGTAAATATGAATGGCCTTTTTCGTCCTGCTATTAGGTCCCAATTTTCGAACTTGATCAGCTATAACATCGGCCAGATCTTCAGCATCCATTGCACAATCATCCAACGCCTGCCTCTCAACAAGACCTTTTCCGATTTTAGGAGACTTGGACCATTCAACCTTTGTATAAATTGCCAGCTTGCACTTGGATTTGGCGACATGGGTAATAACGATCTTCGAGACGAGCATGAAGTCTTGAAAATGTGGTAGATGCCAAGGGGTCTTGGAATCCGTAACAACATAACATACATGATCATTCATGATGTCGATAACTTGATAATCAATAATGTTTGCTTGTCGAGATTTACGCCAGGAATCGACATAGTCAATCTGGAATTCAAAGTCTCGACGCATGTGGTCTCCGTCAAGATGAACCCAGGGACCTTGAGCAATTTTTTGTGCCCTTCGTTCATGGTAGAGTAATTGAAACACGGCGCTCTTGTCGCCAAACATAAGGTGGAAGAGTGCCTTGGGACTAATGTCAAATTCTCGCTCAACTGTCTTCCGTTGCATGTCGGGTGGTTCGTAGATGACAGGCTGAGAAGGAAGTTGGAATTTAGTCACTTCCTTCCCCTTTCTATTGAAATTCAGCCCACGTTCAACATGCAATGAAATTCTGAGGTCACGATCTTTGCGACTGTGGGTGCGGCCTGAGATTGTTCCATCATCGACCGGGGTATTAACATCAACATCCTCCCAACTTTCCATGCTAGGACTTCTAGTAGGGTCTTCGTGCTCCATTTTGATTAATGCTGTCATAATATCTTCCAGGCTCATTGGATTTTCAGCTTGGTTTATATCGACCAAGAAGTTTAACCTCGATTGTAGCAATCGAAGAGGCTCCAGGAAGGTTTTGATGGTGATCCTTGTATATCCTGTCTCGGGTGTAGTATCGAGGAGATGAAGGAACAAGAAGTCACAATCCTTGCCCGGAGCAGCTGTAACTTCGCTGATACTAGATAGCTTAACACCAGTTATCAAAACAAGCCCTAAATGATGGCTGTAGAAGTATATATCTTTCCCGGTAACATAAACTCTTCCAGGAAAATCGTGTTGCTCATTTGGATTCCAAGTTGCACGGAAAACAAGTATGACCTTATCCTCTCGCGGAACATTCGGAAACAGCATTCGGAATTGTGCTTCTTGAGTCTTTAGCTCGATCGGGTAGTTGCTGGGGAAAATCTCTGGCTTAAAAGCAGATTGATTCGCTACACGCGGAACTTCTATGTCGATACTGGCACTGGCACTGGCAGCTTTTCGATGCATCGTGAATGAGGGAACTGGTGTTGCTATAAAATCAGTTGATGGACTAATGGGATTCTTTGCCTGTCCAAGTCCAACATCGGGCTTCAAATTCTCGTCCGTACCTATCTTGGGAGATGGCTCCAATGGCTTTATGCGTGGACTCCCAGGTACAGAGCGAGATCCTAAACTCGGACTTTGAATCTCTCCTTTTTCAAGACGATTAATATATCCCCAATTGCTACTGCCCCACAAATTGGCCATAATGCCACTGGGCATTCCCCCGCTGGCATCACTCTGACCAATACCCATCCCACGCTCTCCACTAACAATTACTGCCGATTTGCTCAAATTCGTAGGAGCAGGCGGATTTATAAGTGTTGCCGGCGCCAAAGTACTTGGAGTATAATCTTGAGTTGGTGACTGTAATATGATTTGTGGATTTGGAAGAGGATTGGTTGCAGTCGTAGAACCTGAAGGCGCAGAAATTGGAAGAATAGTATGACTTGCTGATATCAAGCTGGCGATTCCACCTGCAGCAGATTGCGATGCACTTGGAAATTCATTCAATTGCATGCTTGTCGTTTTCCTATGCAAATCCAATTTTTGCATAATCCTAGCGGCATGCTCTCGACCAGTCTCACCCTCTTCTCTCGAAGTGACAGAACGACGAGGACTAGTGATTATATCAGAACTGTTCCTTCCCGCATACTCTACGCCCGGAATAGGTAACGTGCCGGACCTGTCAAGCGTATCTTCACTGCCATATAAAATTTGACCGTCCGCATTCTTAGCGGCGAATTCTGGAATAGAAGGTGGAGTGATAGCAAATGCGGGATCGATTCCTCCAGCTCGTTGCGTTCTGGGGTTCGCACTAGCTTCGAGGGCTTTGTTCTTTGCAAGTTCAAATGCTTCGAGCCATTCCATAAGGATAGACTGGGTCTCTGCTTGTACCAAAATAGTCTGGTTCTTGGTTTTGACTTCAAAGCAAAATCGACGATCTTCCTGAACAGCCGGTTTCACATTGCAGAGAAGTACGCCAATCTTCTCACTTTCCTCTACTCCTCCAGATTGTATGCCTTGAACCAACCAACCAAAGATACCATCTTTGACATAAAACCAACGGCGAACCCACAAAGTTCTTGCGGGCTTGCCAGATATAGTCCGTAGGAATAACCAGTCTTGTTTTTCGGATCGTTCAGTATGCTTGCTTTGTGGTTGAATATTGACAGTCGAAGGACCTCTCGAGCCAAGATATGCCACCGTGGAAAGGTTATAGTCCTCTAATTCTCTGGATGGTTTTGAAGCCTGAGATGCAGTTTCCGCAATATCTCTTCTAGCCAGCTGCAATTCACGGCGGAAAGTCGATTCACCAGCTTCCATTTCCTTACTCCATCCTCGCACACGATCCATTTCACCACCCCATTTGGCAAAAATATTCGAGGAGACCTCTCTCGACCTCTTCATCTCCCTCCATTGGTCCGTTGATACTCTTACAAGTAATTTATCAATTGTATATCGTAGCTGGGGTGCAAGCAAACAAAAGTCCAAAGATGCTTTTAGGTATGCCTTTCTGGTTTCGTGTACTTGGAAAGCATCTTCTCGCAGCGCTGAAGGCTCTTTAGTTTTCGATTGAGCTACATATCTCGCCAGTGTAGAATCAAATGTCTTCTGCGATTGCTCTAAATATCGTCGAGCGTCTTTGAAATTCCGTAGCTCAGAAGCCATAAAGGCTTTGATGGGCTCGCATATGTTCGTATCGATTTTTTTGGTACCTGCCATAATCTGCGACCACCATTCTTTTGAACCTTCCCCAAATCTCCTCATTGCCAACAAAGTATAATCATGGTCGAGGACGGCTTCGGAAACGTTCGCAGGAGGGGTCGATCGAAGGAGGAAGGTATTGAATGATTCTTCCATTGACCAAACATCGTGAACAAGTTTGGAAATGGATTTGACGTAGGCATCGAGCCATTTCTCAAGTATCTCTACTTGATCAGAAAAATGAACTGCTGTCGCGCGAAAGGTGGGCGAATCGAGGGCTGCTTCCTTTAAGCCTACTGGTATCAAGCTTAATGGCTTATTGAGCTGTAGTATAACGGGTGGTACAACGTCCGACATGTTGATTAAACTCTACGTAAAGTAAGAGATAGAACAAGACCCAACCTCATTATGCTATGAAGCTGTAAAATGATTAAATCATATAAATAAGAGGTTCGTCCTAAAGGCACAGAAGTTGTGGTTGGCGAGTGGACTTCCGGTATTTTGATGATGCCTGGGGTTTAGGGGGCTTTTGGAAGGGTACTCATGAAGAAACAACCAACGACATCATAATTTTGACAAAAAAAGTGGTTTAATTCAATCTCGAAAAATTATACGTGTATGTATACAGATACCTGTAAAATTATATACAAGATATCATGACGAATTCATCAAAGGTTTTCCAATTCCAAACGTTCCAGAAAGAAATTATTTTTATATCGTCAATATTCCTTTTCCGCCTTTGGATGTCTCTCACCGGGGATGTACACCAGGTCACTGCATGCATTAGTGTTGGAAGATATTTTCCTTTCCCGGTGAAGTCAAAATCCAAATTAAGGTCACACATTGATTATTGACTTGCAGAAATCGTAATAGGAGAAATCAAAACTCAAAACATATTTGATTGACTTCAATTAAAGACTAGACATTGCTAGAACTTTGTACGATGTTCCACCTTGGTGAAATCTATTAATACACCATAACTCCTACATTTGTAGTCATATAAAACCCCATTACTCCGCGGCTATAGCTTCTTCGACAGCTACCTTGTTCTTCCTAGATCTCTTCTTCTTCTTCTTTTCTGGAATTTCTACACCTTCAATAACATCTGCTCCCTCCCCGGCGTTAGGACCAAGAACAATTTCCGGTCCATCCTCGTTACCAAATGTCTCCTTTCTCCACTGTCTGAGCCTAGCTTTCTTGCCGAGATTTTTCTTGTCTTTGCGTTTCTTTTCCGCATCTCGGAAGGTAGCCATCTTCTTCAGGCCAGCAAATTCGTTGAGTGATGAATCTGGCGCCATTAAAATATCTCTGGCAGTCAAACCAAATGAGATGGGTGAAGTCTCGCGATATCTGAACATTGATGCCTTTTTGGAAGCCAAGGAGAGATCAACATCGAGTTTGCTGTCCACGAGGTCCTCAATCTTCCTTCTTTCCAGACGTACAGCTTTCTTTTTCATTTGCTTTTCCAATTGTCGTTCTTTATTGCTTTTCGATTTCTTGGATGATTCCCCGTCTTCGTCGGAGTTCTCCTCTGCGTCGTCCTCTGGATCCGATAGAGAGAAAGCGGGTTTCGAAGATTCTTCCTCCTCATCAAAGTCAGGTATAAGATCTTTAATGTCGATATCGTCATCCCACTTTGGCTTCTTGACCTTTCTTTTCTTCTTCTCTTCTGTTTCGTCATCACTGTCAGATCCTCCTTCCGGTTCAGCGTAATAGCTATCCCCAAAGCGTTTGTTCATCTCAGCCTCCCAATTATCGTCATCCCAGGCCGCATCTAAGAATTGACCCCATTCTTCATCTTTCAGAGTCTTACCACTTATGCCTGCAGCCTTCTTGATTTTTTGAAGCCTCTCCTCCATCTCATCAATCTTCAAGCGCTTTAATCGTGACCTATCTTCGTCCCTCTCCTGCTTCTCGGCCTCTTTCTTCTCTCTCACAGTATCTCTTTGCTTTTTCCTCCCACTGACCTCATCACGGCGAACGGATTTTGCAGCAACGACATCTCTGGCATATGATTTCAACATCTCATTGCTGCCTTGAGAATTCTCGAAGCGCAAATTGTAAGCTGTCTCGAATTGATCGGCTCGGTTGTCATCATCCTCGTCATCGGATTCGAATGGCTGGAATCGAGCACCGTCGCTGGGAACCCAAGCGCGAGCTGCCATAAAATTCGATAGAAATGTCTCCGGATCTTTGTCAGCAACGGCGATGTCAACCTCAACCTTTGAAGCTCTCGATGGATGTATGCCTTGACTTGAAATTGCTGATTTCTTTTCCTTCCTCACAAGAAATCCTGCATCCTCATCCGAATCAGATCCATCTTCGGCAGCTGCGTGCATTTCGCCAACAATCTTCTTCTTCAAAGCTTCTTGTTCTTGGGCGAATGTTGGTGGGACATTTTCCTCTTCCTCCTCGCCTGCATGGCCAGCCAATAAATTCTCTCGATGATAATCTTTCAGATACATAGGCTTTTCCTCCTTTTCTGTTGTTGTTCCCTCCCCCGCTTCCTCATCAATCGGAGCATAAAACGTAACTTTTTCATCGTAGACTCGAGGGTCTTTTGAACGAAGAGCCTGCAATGTAGCCGAAATCTCCTTATCTAAATCCTCGGTCGCTAAAAATCCATCATCGTCTTCGTCTTCATCGTCAGAAGACGAAGAATCCTCATCATATTTGTCGCCATATTTCTTCTCGCCATTTTTATCAATTGTTGGTCCAGGTTTCTTCGTATACTTTTCCTCCACTAATCATATAATAAGTTAACCTAATCAACACCTCTCGAAAGAGTTATTGACTCACATCTTTGAAGCTCTTCACGTTTCTTGTTGTGTTCGAATCTTTTTGCATAGTCTTGATTAACTTTTAATACAGGTTCAAGCGGGGCACCTCCATTGGAATCGTCTTCGCTGCTTGAATCGCTATCATCCAGCATCATCTTAGACTTTTCGAGTTTTGCGGTAGATTCCTGCTTGACCTTTTTCGTGCCATTGGTAGTCGCAAGCTGATCTTGCGATTCAGCTTTTCTTTTTGCCATTTTGTAGGATTTCAATGTGATTGCGAAAATAGTACAGTAATGATGAAAAGTGTCGGGAACAATTCTTTCAAGCTGCTTGAAAATCAAAAATAAAATATCGGTTGGTCGGTATATGTGAGCCAGAAGTTCCGACGCTAAACCATCCCAGGCTCTTGATTCGTTCTATCTAACAACCCGCCATTCCTCCATTCATCTTCCTTGGAAAGCAAAGCAAAGCAAAGCTACCTACCTACCTATTTACACCTAGGTATCAACTGAAAAAGATATTCAAAATCATCAAAGATTACAACAGAGCAGTCTAAGTCAATAATCTGCGATTTTGGAGACATATTCCACCGTTCAAGAAACACAATCTACAAACCCCAAGTATCTATTTATCAAACCCGATTTGTGACGTATGGCGGATTCAACTTCATCGGCTCCAAAGCCAAGTTCAAGCGTCAAGCTGGTTCTTCTTGGTGAGGCAGCTGTGGGAAAGGTTTGTAGGGATTTGAATACATTATATTCCATCATGTTGACATGTGTTTTAGTCTTCCCTTGTATTACGGTTTGTGAACAATGACTTTCAGGAAAACAAGGAACCTACTATTGGAGGTACGTATATCTTCATTTGTGTTACTCCACCGTGACGCCTATACGGACTCTACTAATAGTTGTTTTCGCAGCTGCTTTCCTGACACAAAAATGTAATCTACCAACTAGAACCATCAAATTCGAAATATGGGATACCGCTGGGCAAGAACGTTTCGCCTCTCTTGCTCCTATGTACTATCGAAATGCCCAATCTGCTCTCGTCGTTTATGACCTCACAAAACCAACATCACTTATCAAGGCAAAGCACTGGGTCGCAGAACTTCAAAGACAAGCATCGCCGGGTATCGTTATCGCACTCGTAGGCAATAAGCTTGATCTGACAAATGAATCCGACGATTCGAGTAATAACTTGGGAGATGAGGAATCAGCCGAAGGCGAAGATTTAAGCGGGGATGCAAGAAAGATATCAACTGCGGAGGCCAAGTCATATGCGGAGGAAGAGGGATTATTATTCTTTGAGACTTCTGCAAAGCTTGGCACCAATGTGACGGAGGTGTTCACGGCAATTGCAAATGCCATCCCAGAGACATCGTTGAAGGGTGCTAGAGGACCTGGAGGTACACAAGCGAGTTCAGCGAGAGGAGATGATCAGTCTCGAGTTAATTTGACGGGACCAAGGGATAATGCGTCGAAGGAGGGTTGTGCTTGTTAATACATCAGTCATTTTTACGGGATCCATTCCAACTTTCATTTATTCGCAATTGCCTGGGTTTATGGGGTTTTAGGAGGCTAATTTTGATATTATTGGCCGTATGGTATGAATACGAGCAGAGTAGTAGGTAGTCACATGAGGCAATTCGGGACTGACGGGTTTGAGAATACTATTTCTATCATTGAACGTCCTTCATGACAGCATATGACTCATCTTGTAGCAGAAATTTGTCTCCAATAATCAACAATGATGTTCCAGAGCCTTTTCAATTTTCCCATTATGATATGGCTTTAGTTACGAAGAGGTAAAACGAGTGAGTCGGTCTTTTCCCATCCCGTCATGGATTTACGCACAGCTGTTTCAAGCCCTTTCACCTAGACAAGGGACTCGGATGCTTTCTTTGGGTCTCCAGGTCTCGATTGTTTCTATTTGTGTTCACGGTAACAGGTTACTGTAACTATCGTTAAGATTTTTGATGTGGAGTTATCGCAAAGAGTTTAGAGTCTGACAAAAGCTGTTTCCAATGAAGCTGCGTATGTGCGGCTGTTTGCACATTTGTTTCGCCTGATGCTGATGTTGCATTTCTAGGCTGTCTGATCTTTGAAAGTAACGAATTAGACTTCGTATGCGGGTGTTTGACTTTAAATGGAGAATGGGGAAATGATTATATATATATATATATGGCATTTCTCTCGTTTTCATTCCAATCCATTTCCAATCTACAATTTTTTTTTATCGTTCAACAGCTGGCCTGATCTATATTCAACTATACCTTAATCCATTCATTCAATTACTTTCACGATACTTCTTATATATTCAAGATGCGTTCTTCCACAGCAAGTTTGATTTTGGCCTTCTGCGCCATGTTGGCAGTTCAGGCAGCGCCAATGAATGTAGCCACCAATGTCGCTCGTTCAGTTTCTGGTATTGAGACTAGAGGAGAGTTTGGGCTTATTGCCCGTGAAGATGGATATGATGCGAATGGTGATGAGATAGATTCAAACGGGAACTTGGTCGAACGTGGTGAGTAGTCTCCCTCACAGACACATGTGTGACTTACTAATAGGATTATAGATTCCGATTACAATGCGGCTGGCGATGAAATCGACGAGAATGGAAACTTAGTCGAAAAGAGAGCCAAGAAGGCTAAGAAAGGTACGTTCATGTGACTGATTTGTAACATGTTCACGATACTGATATCCTGATAGCCAAGAAAGCTAAGGCACGCTCTGAAAGTTCCTATGATGAGGCCGGCAATGAAATTGATGCAAGTGGTAACTTGGTCGATCGTGGTGAGTTTCAGTAGTCTTTTTCATTTCTTACGCATATTCTGACATCTCTAGATTCTGAGGGATATGATGCTGATGGAAACGAAATTGACGAGAACGGACAATTAGTCGATCGTGACACAGGATACGATGCTGATGGAAATGAGATTGATGAGAACGGACAATTAGTCGATCGTGATACAGGATATGATGCTGATGGAAATGAGATCGATGAGAATGGGCAATTAGTCGACCGAGACACAGGTTATGATGCCGAAGGGAACGAAATCGACGAGAACGGACAATTAGTCGACCGGGACACAGGCTATGATGCCGAAGGGAACGAGATCGATGAGAATGGACAACTAGTCGACCGCGACACAGGCTATGATGCCGAAGGGAACGAGATCGATGAGAATGGACAACTAGTCGACCGCGACACAGGCTATGATGCCGAAGGGAACGAGATCGATGAGAATGGACAACTAGTCGATCGTGACACAGGATATGATGCCGAAGGAAACGAAATCGACGAAAATGGACAACTAGTCGACCGGGACACCGAGTACGATGAAGCGTACGTGCAATATTCCTTCCCCCATACCCATACCCCTACACACAACCACAACCACAACAAACATTCACTAACACTAACAACCACCGCAGTGGAAACGAGCTAGATTCCAACGGAAAACTTGTCGAGCGCAGCACGACTACGATTACTAAGAAGGCTACCAAAGCGCGCAGAGGTAAATTTTCCCTCTTTTTCCTTGTCCTCTTTCTCCCTACATTTCATATCACGTTGTAATTGACCAGCACTAACATTCCAATAATCAGACGATGGCTATGATGCAGAGGGCAACGAAATCGATGAGAATGGTAACTTGATCGATTAGACATATGTTTTATCTTTCATTCCTTTATGCATATGCGTACGAGTACGTGTGCTAGAGTTTTGCTGGTTGTGGTTTGGTTTGGATATGTAGTATAGAGGTATCGACGTTTAGTCTAGTTTAGTTTAGTTTCGTTTGGTTTGGTTTGGTTTAGATATATCAATGTTTTCTTCCATCTACTCGTAGTGTTGTGATGCTATACTATACTATTCAACAATACTCAGTATATTTAAACTTCCATTGAATAGCACTGTATAGGATAGGAGATACTACATTACATTTTATTTATTAGATTTATTCTACGAGTAATAGTGATTCTACATGCGATCTTGCAAGATATACATTACGAGTACAAGCTGGGTGTAATAAAATCCTTCATATTGAAGCCAAGACAAAAACAAGAACAGGCGAACCGAGCATCCATCCCCTGAAAATTGAAACACCAACGGGAACATTTTTGGAAACATTACCTAGTAATGAAACTCTTATTATTCAACTACTCGAGTATTATTGGCAAGGTACAGTATAGGTACGTACTAGGTATCTATGGCCGGATCATTTATTTCCAGAATCTAGATGTACATTCATTTGTGTACTCGAGTGGTTATCGGTTACCAATTACCTTGCTGTATTGAAACAGGATGTTGATGCTATTATTTTAAAAGTAGTTATCGATTTGTTTTGACCAAGTATCTCCTATAATCTTTCTACATCTAAATTGAGCCTGATATGTACAAAGCCTCTATTACTCTACCATGAGTTCTTTTTTATCAATCATCATCATCATCTAGATCCCCGGCATACCCAAGATTAACCTCACAGTTGGATTTAACCTCGGCAACCAAAACACCACAAACACTCCTCCAAAAGCCACTATCAGGCCCGTCAACTTTTCAAACCACGTATGGAAGTATATCGCCGTCATTGTCAACATGAATAAACTTAGTCCCGCCACCCCTAACACAACCTTCACACTTAATCCCAACCATCCATCTTGAACTAATCCCTCCGCTTCGTTCAGGGGGGGTGCCTCTACTTCTGCCGATTTAATCGCCCCATCTTCCATCACTATCGTCCGTTCTTCCTTGATGCCCGAACTGCGAAGAACAACATGTAGAACCTCCTGGAAGAGGAACATACTCCCGAGAACCAGGAGGAATACATGTCCACTAATATCATGACCGCCTTTCCACTTCCCACCCACCGCTTTACAAGCCACGCCCGTGATAAATTGGCGCGTGTTATCCATAACAATCTTTCCCTTCTCCGCCGCATCCACCAACTCGCACTGTCCACCCGTTATGATAAATCCGCGATCGATGATTGGCGGGCCGAAAAACCATTGCGTGACGAAAAACCACCAGGTCGTTACAACCAAATATCGCAGCGTACCGCGTAACCGTCGCGGCGTGAGAGTTAAGACTCCCGGAGGACCAGTCGAAGGATGCGTTAGGAGGAAGAAAAAATAACTAGCGGAAATCCAAGCCCAGCCTTTCTTCACAAACCACTGGTTGAATATATTGCTCTTTTTTGCGAAATATGACGGCGCGGTGCTGGGCGGATGTGATTGTAGAACTGCGTTGTATTCTGATGCTCGTACGTCTGGACTCAGCACTGAGAATATTGAGCCGAGCAGTAGGGTCGCGGGATATATGGAGAGGAGTATGGATTCGAAGGTAGTTGGGATGAAAGGTGATCTTCTTGGTGTCATTTTAATGGTTGTAGAGGAGACTTCCACAATTTGTGGTGAGCGTCTTTTTATTCTGGAGGGCGATTCCATTGTTTGAAATCTATAACATGGAGTATTGAGCAGGAGATGGATGGGCCTTGGTTTTGTGAATTGGAAAAAAGTGATTGAGTCTAGGTAATGGCACAACTTATCTGATAGAGGTAGCTAGATTTGATAAGAGGCAAAGAGATTTTGGAAAGGAAGCAAAATGTAGCCTATGACGTTGTCCCTTTCCTTGTAAATTTCGATGTTGTGTTCATGAACAGGACAGGGATCGGAATTAAGTAGGGCCGAGGAGTTTCCCCAGATGCGATTGATTGACTTGGAATGTTCAACGAGTTTCAGAAAAGATCTGGACAGACAACTTGTTTTTCTATTCAACAAATTTATCCCAAGTAGTACATCTCTCATTCATTAATATATTTAAAACAACCGATCAAAATGGTCTCAACACGCGGGCATCCCAAAGAATTCCCCGAAACTCCCACCCGCACACCTACTACCCCCACCCAAAGCACTCCATTCCGCAAAGGACAATGGGCACATACACCTTCGAATCTAACCATCATCTGGCTCGCCATCTCTCTCCCACTCGTCGCATGGGATGCTGGATATTGTATGCTGCGGCCTCATTCTATGCCCGGCGGATCACTACATTGGCCCATCTGGGTTCCTTATGAATTATATGGGAAAGTCGATTATATATATGGGTGGAAGGCTTTCAATGAACATAATGGATTTACTGCTGCGCAGACTTTCTTGAATATTATTGAGTCTGGCATGTATTATTATTATTTGTATGTCTTGTATGCGTATGGCAAATCATCGTCGGCGCAGGGAAGAGGTGCTCCTAAGAATGCGGGGTTTTTGGGGGAGCAGAGGTTTGTGGATGGGAAGATGGGGGCTTTGGCTGTTTTGGTGGGTTATAGTGCTGCGGTTATGACCGTTAGTAAGACGGTGTTGTATTGTAAGTTTGGTTTAAATATCGAATTGAGTGATGCGTTTACTAATATGTTTTAGGGATGAATGAATATTACTCGGGTTTTGGAAATATCGGCCATAATAGTATTCGTGATCTTATCTTCTTATGGATCATTCCAAAGTAAGTCTAATTTTGGTCGTAGATATAGTGATTGTCTAACCTTCTTTAGTGGTTTATGGATAGTTGTACCTTCATATATTATATATGTGACTGGAAGTGAGATTCTTCAGGGTCTTTCGATTGCTGCTGGAGGAGCTACGGCTTTGAATGATGATATTTCTTTGGTTAAGACGGAATGAAGTTATGAATTAAGATTGATGATATATATAGGAGCCAGTTTATGAAGGAAGGATATCTACAGGGATTTCTTGGTTGCATTTTGGGGTATACAGCGAACACGAGATACCATAAAAGTAAAGCTTGTAATGGTGAGATGTGGGAATATGATTTTACCCTTTACCTAAGACCAAAATTTATAGCGATGTAAGTCGCTGAGCCATATTCTTGCAACAATATTCGATGGATGTGATCAGTGGACGTATGAAATGATGAAGACTTTATGAATGGGGACTGAAATAAATAGGATGGCAGATACACACCGTAATTGTGAAGTAGAGGCAAAATAGTACATTAGACAGAATAGTAGAAAAAGAGCATTTACAAATCACTTGCTCTATCACTATCTCATTCACTCCTACGAGTAAAGCACGAGAACATATCGAACCAACAATCTTAGCATTTCAATCTCTTCATAATGCCTATGGTAAAGCGCTAGCAGGCCCATATCAAGGTCTAACGAGGTTGTCTAAAGATATAAGCGCTTTTGATGCAATCTCTTAATTTACTCGGGTATATATATATAGATAGCAGATATATCAGCATCTCTGATTAGAAAAAGCCTGTTTGGCGCAGTGGTAACGCGTAGCACTTGTATGTAACCGATTCTGGTTGGTTACAGAAATGCTAAGATCATTGGTTCGATTCCAGTAATAGGCAAATATATTATTTTTTGCTTCGATTTCTTTTGGGTGATGGTGAATTGGGGGGGGTGTGGTTGGTGGTGGTGTGTGGGATGGTGGAGAGAGGAAGGGGTTCTTTGTTATGTTGAGATAAGGAAAAACTGGTTGTTATTTTTGGTTGTTTAGATGGAGGGGAATGGTTGGTGGTGAGTTGGTGGGTCATAATAATCCACTAAATAATTTTATCTCTTCTTATTCATTTGCTCATACAGTACTCACATATGGAGCAGCAGTCGAGTAATCTGATACACTATCAATGGATTTGTATATTGAAGTCGAAGTCGACCTCTTCTTTTATAAACATCACATCATTTGGAATTTGGAATTTGGAATTAGAATAAAAGTCCTACAGTTAGGTTTGAAGGATACATCGAGGTTTTGTTTGATTATACTCGAATACATACTCGAGTAGTTCAGCAACCGATTAAATGTGTCTACCTAGTATTTGATTCAATTATCCTGAAAGTTTTCAGTATTCGAAACATTATCAAAACTTGTACTCGGTATGGGATATGATGTTCCTAGACTTCTAATCCAATATCATAATTGAACATCCATCAAATACTAGGTATATCTTGGTTGGGATTTATATATCGATGTTGATGATTCTTATATGGAATTTATTATATTTATTATTACCCTTTCATCGTATCTTAATATTAGTATGAGTACAATACAACCACCAACTACTTATTCACTTCCATAAAAAATCCATTTCCTAACCCTACTTAAAGACTTCTCTGCCTTTGCGAATAAGTTAGAAGTCTGGACTATGAGAAAAAAGCCCGAAGCATCTCACCCCCAAAGTATCTCGCTACTTTTACTCGAGTATACCCTCACTACCAACCTTCCAACAGAAAATCCTCACAAGATACATTTTCGCTAACTTTCACCGTTGAGTCAGCGGGGAGAGGGATTTGATATTGGAGGGGAAATCGATAGAGGGGGGATGGGAAGAGATATTCGGGGAGATTCTGTGTGGCTTGGGCAGTTTCTAAGTCGGATGGTGGTGAGGATTTGCGTTTTTTATATACAGAGATTACTTGAAAATGATTTAGTTGAGCTGAGCTGCGACCGCAAGATGGGGAATGTGAAGTCCAAGGTGTTTGTTTGTATGTGAACTGCCGGCCATGAACTATGCATTGGAGGGGCTCTTTGGGTAGTTTTGCACAACCTGTCTGATCACGTGATGGGAATAAGAGCCTTGTCAAGATGGATGCTGGGATCTGGTTGTGTTATATACTTGAGGTGGGTTAAAGTTTATGCATAAATTTGATGGGTATTTAAAAGGGACCGAGGTAGTTGTAAAGGGAGTCAGGACTCTCAGTAGTAAGCAGTGAGACCTAAGAACTGTATGCGCCCATGATGATAGGTTTATTAGTGTAGATGATGTAATGAAACTCCGGTCTCTGGTTCCTGAACATTATTCTCCTTCGTAAATACCATTTAGGTAGGTAGTTCTAGATTTAATTATTCGTACCTTACTCGAGGAGTACTGAATCTTCATTATTGAATCTACTCGAGTTATAAGAATAAAACCCCTCCTTGACTCTTTTTCCATACAATTATTCAATCAATAATCCTTCCTTTAATAAAGCTTCCAAATAAACCCTTCGTAGCCCTCTCTCCCTCCCTCCTGATGAGATGTTCCATAATAAATTGAAACGATGATTGATTGATATCAATCAAGTGAAACCCATTCATTCTATTCATTCACCCACATGGCTACTAGAGGGCTATGTACCAGACTTTCGGACTTGAAAGAAGAATACTAATTCCAAACCCCTTTATTCCTTCACAAAAATAATTGTATATATTATTCTTATTCGTTTGCTTGTCATTGATATACTGGTATTTAATATACAATATATTTATTATTCACTTGCATACATGCATGTATAAGAAAAGTGATTGAAAACAAGAAATTCAGCCTATCGCCACTAAAATAAATCGTTAGCAAATCGGCAAATCCTTATCCTTACTGCAAACGGTCCACCGAACGAACCATCCTAGACCCTTCCGACCTCTACAAACCAACGAGCATTCAGTTCAGTTCAATTCTCCACCACAATACAACAATCACCAACATAATAAATAACCTTTATTTTTGCTTTCGCAGTCGAAACGATATCCCCCCAAAGCTGCGAGGATTGATATATTTTACTCCGGCTGGCCGAGTTATATCGGGCTGGATTCATATTCGGCATTGCATTGCGTTGGTCATTTAAAAAAAGGAAGCAAACAAGGCAACATTTTGAAGGGTGCGATAAGGGTACCGTATAATGATGGAGGACGTCCTGCGGGGGATGCAGCAGCAATCAACTCTCTCGACCTCGGTTTTATACTCAACGCCAACGCCAATACCTATAATAGCTGGTGCTCAGGAGGCTTTTCGAGATACTTCTTTACATCGAGTAACTAGTGTTCAATATGCGGGGGCCGCTACGATCATTAGAGCTAGCGATAATGCTCAACTCCAGTCCAGTAATGATTCAACAATAAATGGCGTTGTGATAGGACTTTTGAGTTCATTTGGTTCGGCCATATTGATAGCGTTCATCTTTTTGATTGTCTATTTCTTCAGGTACACAAGTAGTGGAAGGATTTTACTGGATCGGATCGGGAGACCGGGAGAGTATGATGATGAACAGGCTTTCGCAAAGGAAGAGGCGGAAGCTTTGGAGGAGATGGATGATTTACAAAGAACTGAATACTTGAGAGCCAAAGGTACGTCCCTTCATCATCTGTCTATGTCTTCATGATGCTAATGATGCTGTCTGTATAGCATTCGTACAATCAAACCCACCCGATTCATTACCAACCGACATTTCTTTATCGCAATACTTGGCAATTCAGGAAAAGGGAGTATCGGCTTGGGAATTTGAACCAGAATTGGAGATTGCGAATTGTTTTGTAGAAGCTAGGACGGAAATCGAGTTCTTCGATAGCGAATGTTGCACTCTTACGAATCTACCAGTACCAAAACAGAATGAGGTTTACTATTGGGAATCTAAGATATACGATAAGCCGGAAAATACACTCATTAGCATTGGAGTAGCTACAAAGCCCTATCCTTTGTTCAGATTACCAGGTATGTTGTTTCGATTATCTGTTGTGAAGAAAGTTACTGATCTTGGGCAGGGTGGCACAAGTATTCCGTTGCTTATACCTCTACTGGACATCGAAGATATAATCAACCTTTCAGCGGACCAGTATACGGACCACAATATGTCCAAGGAGATGTTATCGGAGTAGGATATCGACCTCGAACTGGCACAATTTTCTTTACTCGAAATGGAAAGAAACTCGAAGATGTAGCACATGGTCTCAAATCACAGAATCTTTTCCCGGCAGTTGGCGCGAATGGTCCTTGCACAGTACATGTCAACTTTGGACAATCCGGATTCGTTTTCATCGAAGCAAATGTCAAGAAATGGGGTTTAGCCCCCATGACAGGTAGTCTTGCTCCTCCACCTCCCTATGGTAGCGAACAAGGAAGCATTCTTTTAGAGGCTGGACGAGATGGCGCACAGAGTAGTAATGACCATTACCTACCAGATACACGACATGGTCGAACTCGAAGTGGAAATTTTAGGCATGGTCCACCTACAAGTCCTGGACCAATACGATCACCCACAGATATTTCATTAGCTCAACTTACACATATTCCTTCACATGAAGAACCCGGCGAGGCATCAAATAGTCCTACACCAGCACCAACAGGGGGTGCTAATACACAAACTGGATTGGGAGTTCACGACAACGCACAACCTCCTCCAGAATATACAAGCCCTTTACCTTCAGCAACAGCAAGTCCTCGAGGAAGCACAGATAGTGAAAGAACTCCAATGTTACGAAGGAAACTCACACCACCACCTATACCAAGTTATAATGACGCAGTAGCGCAGCGAAATCGAAGTAATAGTCATCGAGATCAAAGTGCCAATCGTCGAGAAAGAAGTGATAATCATCGAGCTCGGCATGGGGATGGAAGTCCTTGATATGACTGGGCGTAGAGGAAACACCCAGTGTATTTCGACCTGAGCGAAGATTTTGAGAGAAAAGAGAGAGAGGGCAATGAAGTTTGAATAAAGGATTTTGGTACGATATAACCGCTAGTGATGGATCGAAGTTGTATCATTTTGGGAGGTGGGACTTGGAGTTAAATATGAAATAGCGTGGAGAGGTACAGTCCCTATGTTGTTATATTGAATGGTGGTCCGGTGCGAATTTGGAACGGTCTTGGTAAGGCAAAGGTAGGGTTGGAGAAGGGATGGGGTGTTTATCATTGGCGTTTTGGGTGTTATACGATGGGTGGACTCTTGAACATAAGATGAAGAACCTTTTGGAGGTGGATATTGGGATGGATCGATCCTAAGATTGGAGGATGTCTGGTAGCGAAAGAGTGTTTCAGGGGGAAGTGAAATGGATGGATGGGATGAGTTACATAGGAAGAGAGTGGAATGGACGGATATTGATTGATAAATGTGGGTGGTGTGTGCGTAAAATAGCAATCGAGGCAATAAAAAATGCATAATGTTCCTTTGTTAATATCACAATCTGATGAAGCAAGATACCTGGCTCATCGTTTGAAGGTTGGATTATTTTGACGTATTGGTACAGAGATTATTGAAAGTATTGTTCTCATGTTATTAAATCATTTCTACATAGCTTTAAATACAAACATTAATCCCTAAACGCCCTCCGCCCTTCGTCTGTACAGTACACACCCACAAACTTTAAAAATCCTCTCGCCTCTTCAAATCAATATAAACCTCATCCCCACCACCGGACTATTAATCCCCAACGACGGCGTACACAAATCCAATCTCGGAAACTTCTGCTGCGGTATACACGGCGACAGCGTTACCTCAAACTTATTAATGACCGACGCCACAAATACAAACATTTCCTGCTGGGCAAAAAATCGGCCCGGACAATAATTCACGCCGCCTCCGAAGGGTTTGAAGTTTAGAGAAGAAGCGAGGGATTTATCGCGGAGGAATCGTGTGGCGTCGAAGTGCGTGGGGTAAGATCCGAAGGCTCGTGTGTCCATTTGTAGTTGCCGGAAAGCGAGCAGGATGGTGTGGGGGGGAGAGAGGATCTTGCTGCTGATGGGGGTGGGGTGGGTGATTTTGCGGGCGGAGAGGGAGCCGGAGGTTATGCGGAGGGTTTCGAGGTAGGTGGAGTGGAGGAGGGGGGTGAGGGTTTGGGTTAGGAGGTGGGGGATGTTGATTTGGGTTTGGGGTTGTTGGGGGTTGTTGGGGTCGGTTTGGGTGTGGGTGTGGGTGAAGGCGGGGCGGGTTTCCGCGAGGAGTTGGGCGTGTAGGGTGGGGTCGGATAGGATGTAGGTTAGCATCCAGAAACCGAGTTTGTAGGGGTTGATGTTGGCGCTGTAGAGGGTTAGGCTGGGAGTTTGAGGGTGATGCTCAGGGTGTGGGAACAGGGAACAGGGAAGAGGGAAGAGGGATACGTACGCCCAATAAATCATTAGGGCTAGGGCAGCTCGATCTTCATGACCTACTCCGTTTGCCTCGAGCTCGCTCATACAGGTCTTGATCAACCAAGCCTGATCATCGCGTTCGGAAATCGGGAGTCGGGATGTTCGATCAAAGGCTTTCAAGATCTTTCGTCGCGCTTTGCTGATCCTACTATTCTTCCCGTGCGGATATTGGAAGACTAACATCCAGGCATCGGTGTTGAAATCTTGGAGGGCCTCGGTCAAGCCGGGTTCGATGTCGTAGATCTTTTCGCCGAAAAAGGTCCGTGTGACGGCTCCGACTAGTACGTCGGAGCAGAATTGTGAGAGGGATAGGTGTCGGATGCTGTCTCTGGTGGTGCAGAGGCTGGGGTAGCGCGCTTTTAGGTGGCTCCATTTTAGGTGGCGATCGATCGATCTGGTTAGAGATGCGTTGATGGTGTCGAGCTTGGGACCGGGAAGTAATTGCCGTTTGTAGAGGTCGAGGGTGGAGTGGATGATGGACATGGGGGGGGACTTTGGCGGGGTCGACATCTGGGCGACTCTGGCGGGCGATCTCGATGGGCATCTTTTTCCAGAGGGTGTCGATGATGGATGGGTTGATGCCGAATCCAATGAGGAGGTCGTTTAGCATCGCGTCCCATGATAGAGTGGTGTTGTTCTTGTAGACTTCGTTGACGTGTTCGGGCTCGGTGAGGATGTATAGTGTTTTTTCTCCGACAGTGATGGCAAATGGTTCTCCATTATTGTTAAAGTATTGTCTGGAAACTATCGTGTTAGTATTGCTATTGAAGGGGAAATAGAAGTTTTGGCTAGGCGATGTCGTGCGTGAACTGCATGCCAAGGGAAAGTGCGAGACTTACTTTCCACGGTTAATCAAATCCTCGGAATTTCCGATGAATGATCGAGCATGTCCTAGGACTGTTGGGTTACTGTTAGTCACCCTGATGAGCACATTTGTGGATGATGAAGAGCTGTTCACTAACATGGAATCAAGTATGGTAGTTCTTTAGGAGCATCCGGTTGAAATACAGGTAGCACCGTGAAGGTCCACAACCTCCAACATAGCCATGATGCAATGATACCAGACAGAACTTCGCTGTACACAGAGTGTGTGACTATTTTGATAACCACGAGGGCAATATCTTGCAACATGATGGAAGATTGATCAATGAGATCGTAGAGAAGACTAATGAATAATTGTAATGGATCATAAGTCACACAAGGGAACATGATCTTCCTTTTAAACCTCTCACATGCATCACATCGCGGCCAGTCACGGATGTTGCCTATCGGCGAAGAGCAGATTTGGGAATACCATCATACCACTGCTGATCCCCTGCAGAAGTTCATTTACAAGGTGATAAGAAGAGGAGCCACAATTATATTATTAGACGCCGCACAAGCCTTCATCAAAATATAGATAGAGGCAGCGAGGCACCAAGGAAACTTCTCTCATAGAAAGCACAGCACAACACATTTAGGGGAAATCCCCGCGTCGCCATCATCTCCACATCGAAATTGTGAAAGTTCGCGCTCACATTGTGATTCATAGGCACCACAATCCCGTAAGACTTTACGCGAGGCGTTCCCATCCATCTTAAGAGCATCGACTAGATGGCACTTCCTTCTCGTAAAAGCTGGCTAGCTAGATCTCCTACCAATTTCCCTGTATGCAGATTCCTCCACTACAAAAATTTGTATGTCATCCAGTTTTCACGACTGGTGTTTACATGAATTTTCATAATCTTCGGCGCTTAAAGCGTGACGTGACTATGTACATATGTCACCACTATAGCCGATATTGACCACGGAGACCCCGCACTAGCAGATTTGGATGAAAGATGTTTATTTTAGTCTTGGGGATATCTATCTGCAACTGACATGTGCGGTGTGCACAGCGCATCTCGGTATCACTGCTGCGCCGTCGAACGACCCATCTTTGGCGTTCATCAACCTTCATGGTATGATATTTATTAAGCCTAGATCTAAAGGAGGTCGGAGATCGTGCGGCGCAGCTACTGTACAGTGTAATGGGATACAGTAGTACCGGTGGTATGGGTGGATACTACCTCGATGCTTGCATATGCGTGTAAGCCATGGGTCTATCCCCATTCAGTGACCCAGAACATTGCGGCATTGAAAAATGGACTGGTCTTGGTTGTGGGTAGGTGTAAGCACTAAAATAGTTTTGTCTCAGTAACCTTATCTCTCACTGCCACCGTTATGCTGTACTGTATTGTACTGTAATGCTAAACCACGAGTAACAGCAGCCTGTATTGTATTGAAAATTAAAAGTATGTAAAGACTTCATTGAAACAAAGATAATAATTGAGACATCAGTGCCGGGTACTGAAAGCTGGGAACATTCATTGCTAAAATTGTTACAGGGGTAGCCGCCGTTGAGGCACAGACGAATATATGTCACTAGCACGCACGTTTACCTACAAACGAGGCTTTCCAATGTTTCTATCAATAACATTTTCTCCGTACTGTATGTACTATCTATCAACCATCACTCATTTTATTATGGGTTCGCGATTACAATATACACAACACTCCACCCGGATAATTGGATGTCACACTGATTGACCTCGAATCGCGTGTTCATGCGAGATGTGTCTGTAATAGAAGACCCAGAAGAACATCTTCATTGCAACATTGACGATGATAATTTTCCGTATGCGAGATATGCGAGATATGCGGTCCCAAGGGCCAAGGGGATCTATTCGAGTATCACACTCAACCTTGTTGTGACAGAGACAGGCAGAATTGTGATTGCAATTGATGTGACTGCACAAATTACACGCATTGGCCACATGGCACACGTCGATCTCATATCTAATCGGCGGCTGCATTGATGGAGTTGTCGTATCTGCGATGTAGTATCGGCTGTGGCCTTAGTACCCTATCTGCCTACCCCATTGCATGCAACAATCGATTGGGAAGTCCTCCGAGATCCACATGTTCATTTCCCGGTGTTGGTGGTTGCTTGTTGTGAACCACATCAAGAAAAGTAATTTCTTCAATGGCGTGTCTTTATGCTCTCCGAGCCTCTTTTCTCTTTTTGATAGCATCTTCCTTCCATTGATTCATGGGTCTTGTTTGTCATCTACCAATAACGCAGCTATGGAAGTACATCTAGCTGATGATACAGTCAAAGGAAATCTCTTTTTGAAGGGCTGGAAGCTATCTCTTGTTACCTTTTCTCTTTCCGTGGGTACATTTCTCGTCGCTCTTGATGTCAACATTATCGGGGTTGCAATACCGAAAATCACGAGCGTCTTTGATTCCTTAGGAGACGCAGCATGGTACGCTTCGACGTACCTCTTGACTGTAACTGCATTGCAGCCTACTATGGGATATCTTTACAAATCTTTCAATGTCAGACTTGTCTACTTCACTAATGTCATAATATTCGAAGGTTAGTTCACCTTTTATTTCTTCTCGTGCTCCCAAGTGCTATATTTCTTTTAGCAATGTCATTGGCTTAACAACACATGAAAGTTAACTTGATATACAGCGGGTTCCGTTCTATGTGCGGCTGCTCCAAGTTCGACTCTCTTTATCTTGGGGCGTGCTATTGCAGGCGTAGGCGCAGCAGGGTTGTTGCAGGGAGCTTTGGCGATAATCACACATATTGTGGAATTAGAGCGTAGACCTTTGTTCATGGGAATAGTAATTAGTGTATTCGGTCTTTCAATATGCGTTGGTCCTGTAATGGGTGGCGCCTTTGTCGATAGTATTGGCTGGAGATGGTGTTTTTGGATGTAAGTTCCATCATCCCTCTTGGGACGAAACAAAACGTCTAATCGAAGCACAGAAATCTTCCCATTGGCGCAGTCGCTATGATATTACTTGTTCTTTTCCTCAAGGTTCAATCCGTACCCAACCAATATACCTCACTTTCCCTGAGAAGAAAAATTGCAAACATGGATCTCATTGGAACAGTCACGTTTCTTGGTGCTATCTGCTGTTTAACGTTAGCATTGCAATGGGGAGGTCAGACAAAACCATGGCATTCATCTCAGATTATAGGCTTATTTGTAGGCTTTGGTCTTCTAACCATTGCTTTCTGTTGCATCCAAGCGCGACGAGGAGAAAACGCACTGATTCCTCCACGAGTTCTTCGGCAAAGATCGATACTTGTTGGATCTCTGTATCTCTTCTTCGTGGGCATGCTAGTTTATGTTGTAAGTCTCCATCAAGTCAAAGTCTAGTCGATCATCAGATCTAACGAATGCTTTTGAGCAGTATTCCTTCTATCTTCCATTCTATTTCCAAGCTGTACAAGATGTTCTGCCAATCACTAGCGGAGTTCGAATCATTCCGTTTGTTTTAGCCGAGATAATTCTTATTGGCGTTACTGGTGCGATTGCTAGTCACACGGGCCATTATGTTCCTTTCATGGTGGTGGGTATGGTTATTTGTTGTGTGGGGGCTGGTCTAGTCACCAGACTTGATATTGATAACCCTACCGCTGCATGGGCCGCATACCTCGTTATAGCTGGCGCTGGCCTTGGAACTGCGATGCAGCTCCCTTATACAGCCCTACAGGTAGTTCTCTCGGAAGCAGATGTACCTATTGGAAATGGTCAGTAGTTTTTCATTTAGTATTATCTTATCATCTCAGGCTAATCTTAATTTAGCTCTATTCGTATTCTTCAATCAACTAGGAGGGTGAGCTCTCCCCTTCCAATCTTACTACCTTTCAAGCTCTAACGTTGCTCTAGGATGATTGCAATTCCGATCGCTCAATCCTTATTTCTTTCCAAGCTTCGCGCAGAAGTTACCACTCTGCTTCCGAATTTTGATCCGGAAATTGTTATTGCAGCCGGTGCAGCAGAATTGAACGAAATTGCGGCCGGCTCCAAAGACGTTCTCTTACTTCTGCGTACAGCTTACTCTAGTGCATTGAGAAGCCCTTATATATTGGCCTTGAGCGCATCTTGCATAGCTGCCATTTGCGTACCAGCTCTGGAATGGAGAAACATCAAGACCGAAGCGGCGGAAAGGAGAGAACATGACCTGAAAGAGACCTTGAGTGGAGGACAGGATGGGGGCGAAAAGACGGCGGAGATACGTGAAGATGTAAAGGAAGTTGTATGACTTGAGCTGTCGAAGTTGTGGCAGGGTATGGTGCTTTGTGGGGATATACAAGATATATATATTGTAATTATATTGTTACAGAGATTGAGAGTTATTGGTGCTATAGAGAGTAATAACAAATCAATACTCGAGTACATCTTCTATCTGTAAAACTCCGTTCATTGATTAGCTATTAGATGGATAGGAAAGAGCGCTGTAGATCTAATCTTGTATTAAACTCGTAAGTTAGAGAGTGATTTACTTACTAGTTGAAGTGGAGAAGATATACTTCTGATCTGAAGCTATATTCATCCTTTCAATCTTAATATAATATAGAAATCTTTTCGGGATTCTCGAATGAAACTCTGTATATATAAATATTTAAAGGTTACGGTTTTGATATCTGGGGGTGTACAATGAATTGAATTTTCTTAAATGAGTTGAGTTGAACCTTACGCCAAGAATATTAACCTATTATTGGAATTTGAAAAGAGGTTTGTTTAAAGAATACTGAATATTATATCAGTAATTACAAAATGAAAAACATTACAATATCTCAAAGTCTTGTGTAGTGTGATTAATAAAGTATTTGGATATTTCCAAGTTTCTAATATGTTGCACAATATATTTACATTGAAAAATTACAGCTAAAGTAACCTAGCAGACTTATAATCCCGCCCTGACTTACTCATTGCGGCCTCGGTACACTTTCCATCCATCAATGCTTCGCTGGTCTTTCTACCCATCGAACCGAGACACTTTTCGGGTTTGCCATTTGCAAAAGTAATTCCACATTACTATCTTTCACCACATCCAAAGTGCGTTTCCTAGCTACATCAAGTGATTCACCTCCAAGCGTCACCGGTTCCGTAGTGTGATTTCGGAGAAGCGCCATCAACGTGGCCACAAATTCTACTTGTGCGAATCTTTTACCGGGACAATTGCGGATGCCTTCGGACCATGGGAAGTAGGTGCCTTTGGGAGGATTGAAGAGGGTTTCGTGCTCGAGGTGGCCGTCGTTTTCAATCCATCGTGTGGGGCGCTATACTAAGGAGTCGCTACCCCAATGACGAGGATGCGTATGCAGGGCTTGGAGATTGGGAACTACTAGATAGTCGGCGGGAATGTGATACGTGTGGCCGTCGACGGTGAGATCGGTGGACTTGGATCCTGTGTATTTGGGTACGCCCGGAAGAGGATTGTATAGACGCAATGTCTCGAGCTGGGTATCGGGTTAGCTTGTTTGGATCTCAATCAATCTTGCGGTCGCGGATTTGGTGGACTTACTAAAACTGCAAGAGATCGTTTGAGTTTCGGGAATAGTTCATTGTATGACAGGGTTTTGGGATCTTGGTTCCCTACGTAGAACTCGATTTCTTCGTGGACCCATTCCTGGACCTCGGGGTGTGCAGCTAAGAGAAGCATACCATAGGAGGTTTGGAATTCTGTGGATAGCTATGTTGCATTGGAGTTTTGGCGCAAAGACTACTCGAGTATTGAATGTTTTTATAAGTCGGCATTTATTTTTCAAAAATCAAAGATAATTGATTTGACAACTTCATAACTTCTCCCTCAAATCCTCAGTGACATGAACTCGTATAACAACCTACCGTCAAAATGAAGGAATAACCTCCGGTTTAAATCCTCTGCCAATCCACTTGACCTAACTCCTATACCCAATATGTAAGCACATCACCCATCTTTGACCACTATCATCTCTTCATTCCTTCAAATCTCCTTGACAAAGCCCACCTCCACCAATCCCTCAGCTGGTAAATCCAAATCCGCCATCTTCCCCCTACTATTCTCTCTAATCCACAAAAACACCCACAACACCCCTCTCCTCGCCCAGCCCCCTAAACTTTTGTCCCCATTTTTAATTTTCATCTGTTCCTTACCCAACACATACACCATCTGACTATTCGCCGCATTATTAATCTTATCCAATTCCGCCTGGATAGCTGGTGTATGTATCACACTACTAGCGGGGGAAGTCGAGTTCGGAGATTGAGGACTAGTATCCTCTGATACCAATCGACTCTGGAGACCTGTAAACGTAGACGGGTCACGAGTTATGAAGAGTACAAGTTGAGAAACCAATGTGGAACCGATGGATGGTGTGATGATATCATCAGTATAACCATGACGAATGGTGATACGGTAACAAGAAGGGATGGAAGTCCGTTGAATAACATAACGTTCTGTATCTGGAACGTGGGGGACGGAAAGTGGACGCATATGTAAAAAGATGATAATTTCGGGAGTGGCGCAGAATTTCCGAACGAATTGGGTGAAGACGATGGGTAGTTGATCTCCTACTTTATCGAAGAAGATACCAACGCTCGGGACAGTGGTAACGGGATAGGAGCCAAAAGCCGAGGTTAAGAAGCTGGAGTTTGGATATTTGGAATCAAATGTCATGAATTGAGAGGAAGGAATGCGATCCTGAGCTTCAGAAGTCCATTGTTGCTCTTTGCCGTAACGCCATAATACAAATATACAAGAGAGAATGGCAGCAAGAAGTAGGGTGAACCATGCGCCGGTCGGGACTTTGATGAGAGCAGAAGAGAGATAGACACCATCGAGTGCGGCAAAGACTAAGAAGAAGATAAGGACGATGAAGACGTTGACACGCCAGATGATGATGGCGACCAGCGAAATCATGCAGGTTGTTATGAAGGTTACGAAGATTACGCAAACACCATAGGCATTTCCAAGGCGAGTTGTCTAGTTTGATATTAGAAAAATATCTCAATTGTGAGAGGTCATGGCAAATGGGGGAAACTCACATTACTGTACACTGCCGTCACTACAACAGTACCGATCATAAGCAACCAATTTGCCAACGGCATGTACACTTGGCCATGGAATAGTTTCGAAGTATGAACTGTTTTGATATGTGGAAAGTAGGATAATCTCATAACCTGTGATAATAATTGAAAACTAGCTGTAATCATAGCTTGTGAAGCAACAATAGCAGCTAGAATGGCGATAACAAGAGAAAAATCTGTATTATGTTAGCTAATCATTGTTGTGAATTGGAAAAGAAACTTGAGACTTACAAAATGTCCCAGGAGGAACTGTGTTGAAGAAAGGATTTGTATAAGCTGTTTTAGTAGCGTCTTGGGAAATATATGCAGCTTGTCCAATATATGCCAATAACAAACAAGGATAAGTGAAGCCTAGCCAAGAAATTTGCACAGCTCTCTTACTGAAAGCACCTAAATCTGCAAACATTGCTTCTACTCCAGTGAAAGCAAGTAAGAGTCCACCCAATGATTTCCAACCTTCCTCTTTGTTGCGCATGAAGTAATTTCCTGCAAAATAGGGAGAAAATGCTTTCAGGACAGTGTGGTCGTATTGGGCTAGGTTGTAGATACCGGTGCACATGTTGAAGAGTAGCCAAATGATGACTATTGGGGCAAATGTGCTTGCGATCTTTGTAGTTCCAAATGGCTGGATAGCAAATAGAAGAATAAGAATGGCGCAAGTCGTACCAACGATTGTACTGCTGCTGATATCTGGATATGCAACTTCAATGCCTTGAATTGCCCCTAGCACAGACTGCGCGGGCGTCAAAACCCCATCGCTTGTGAATGTTAGCCTGGAACTTATTGCACATTCATATTTTATCACTTACGACATAACCATACTAACACCTAATACCCCCAAAATTTTCAACACCACCCTAGCCACTGCAGATTTTTCGATGAAGGTCCGAACATTCTTATTCGAAGCCTTCAACTCATTCGTCTCATGTCGTGCCATCTTGACAGTCGCAGATATGTTCGGATCCAATCGGACGATGTGTGCATAACGGGCGAGTAAACTGTAGAGCGCAAAAGTTCCTCCTTCTCCATCATCATCTGCCGATAAGACAATGAAGACATATTTTACCGAGACCATAAGAGTAAGGGTCCATATTATTATAGATAGTGCGCCAACGAGATCATCGTATGAAGGGTTGCTTGTGAAGGTGGATGAGTAGACATATAGGGGACTTGTTCCTATAAAAATGATGAGCTATTGTAATATCTCGGAGTGAAATCAAAGACTTACCAATATCACCATATATTACACCAGTACTTTGGTATGCCAACCACATAAGCATCCATCCTGTGTATGTCTAGAAGAATTAGAATGAGTAAAATAATGTAGATAATTGATTGTTTGATAGAGGGTATAGATTCTGGATGGCGCGAAAGAATATAAATTAGGAGGACTAAGGTAAGCACCAAGTCTTCACAAACTACAAACCTGTTTCTTCTTCTTGTTTAAATCCTCATTCGCAATCTCTAATGCCTTCTCCTCAAAGTCATGATCAGTGGCCGTCTGCGATACTTTTGATTCTGCCATCACATCACCAAAAGCCAATCCATTTGACCTATTAGACCTGTTCGACCGGACGGGCTTTATTTCATCTCCGAATTGGATATGCTGTGGGGAATCTGCCATCATAGTACTGATGCTCAATGTATGTCCTCTGCTGGGACAATGAATATGAGGGAAACAAATCAAATTCCAAAAAATGTGAGCACAAAAAGGCAAGCAAATGTAGAAGAAACGATGACACAATTAGGAACCAAGTATCGAAGGAACTTTCCTTTGATAGACATGGGAAATTCACTTGACTTATACCATACCTGAACATACCGATAATATTTTTTCTTCCCAGCTTCATCCCACCCCAGCATCCCCAGATGCTGCAAGTAAAGAAGCCATCGGCCAACTCTCTTCTCACAAAGTTACCTAGTATATTCAAGACAAGGGTTCTCAACGGTAGAAAACTTTGCATTTGACAGCTCCACAGCTGACATGAAACTATCATTGTCAACTCCAATAATATGACATTGGTCACTGGATTTGTGTCCCTTATCTATTGAGATTGCAAACCATAAGCGTGATAAGAAGCTACAAAATAAACGAGGTTTCTTATCCTCGCCCTCAGATTCGAGCAGGCTAAAATCCCTCAGTAGGACAAAAATGCCTCACTTCCAGCTCGACGCCTTGTGCGGCAGCAACTAACATTAGGAGGGTGAATTTCCGGGAATCTTGCAGAAGCGAGAAAGGAGCTTGGATTATTATGCAGGTTGGGTGATAATCGTGGCGGAGTGGGATGTGGGATGCGGGATGCGGGACGTGGGGTATGTGATAAGGTATCTAATCCATTTGCATAATGAAGATTCAAGATTCAGCTGCGATGTATGAGTACGTTTGGTGGTACACTGTACTTCATTGGATCATCTCCCGTGCTGATGAAGCGTCCATAGGTACTTTCAAGCGATACAAAGTTTTTGATCGATATTGTTCTTCTTTGGTAAGATAGTAGAATAGGTAGGTAGGTAGTTCACATCCATTCTGAGGTTTCCTCGTCTCAATCGTATGGGCGACGATTGGAATAAGAATGGTTCACATCTCTTGTTAACAATTCGTGATTGAGTGAGGACCAGCTTGACCGAAGTTGTTCCACAATCAATGTTTCACCGCCTTCCAGTTTCAACACAAATAAGGCATATTCGAGAAAATCCCAAAAAACATCAAATATGGAAATCTGGGAGAGAATCTGTACGTTACGGTACCGGTATTCCTATTTGCAATTGGGTTATGTTAATATTGTGGTCTAGTTTGGTAATGGAAGTTATCGAGATTGTACGTTCAGTGGTAATTGGCGCGGGTCGTGTAGAATATGTGGGCTTGCTACTTGGATTCCATTCTTGCGAGTTAGGGTGACGACAAAGATTGGAGTATATACCTCCTTAGATTCCTGCCTGCCTTGCTGTAACTCAAGGGTCTTTTATAATTCCAGAAAAATTGGAATCGTGACTTCATCTGGATCAATCTTCTTATTCCAATGACCGCAAGGCGGCGACACCATAATTATGCAGTACAACTGCTTCAGCCGCAGTCAAAAGACTCGCCCTATTCAAAGAAGAACTATCTGAGGTCCTTAGGAGTGAGGTTGTTGAATCCTTTTCGAAAGAAAGCCACCCCCTCAAAGCTCATTGGTGAGAACTTTCGCTTGTCTTGTCGAAAAACGTCTCTGAATCATCTTTGGTGAATCAGTTACCACTCCACGGGTAGAATTCCAAAATATTACGTGCCTAGGATCAAGATCGCGTCGCTACTTTCCGCAGCAGACGAGATCACTTGTCTGTTCGCTGACAAACAAGGATCCGAGGTATAGAAAAGAGGAGGTTGTTCGTAACCGGCAAATGATGGCTCTCGGTGCTCGGATACCGTGAATCACACTGGATCGAGTCATTTTTATCTCCAATGTTGAAGTCAAAGGCGGAAGGGCGTGCACACATAGAAGATATGATAAGTGCAACTGGTTCAAATTCTTTCTCTTAAGCCCCAAAAATTTAAAAGGTAGGGAAAATATGCCACCATTCCTGAAGTCATCGAGTATCCTCACCTGACTACTCATAAAATTTCTGCCGAAAGGCGGTGAAAAACCATCCAAAAAGTTTTGTTGCATATCTGAAAAATCATGAAAATTTGTTTCCTCCATCCTTCCCAATTGGGAACCAAAAAATAGAAAATACAACGTCTGGGAATAAGAGCACTTTCTTGGAGTTTATTTCCGGTGTGTCAAACTTTTTCATTTTCAATCTTAAGACATAGAAGCAAAATGATTGGTGGGAGAGTGAAGCGTGACTTGAGTGAATGTTCAGATGAGAAATTGTAGTTGAGAATACCTAGTAGTCAAATAGCCAATATGGTCTGAAGATATCGGGTCGGTATGAAATATCGAGAATGAATGAATAAGAATGACCTGGTATGACTACCAATATTTTCCAACTACCTACCAGCTGACTCCTCAACTACGAGGGTCTTTTGGAGCACACTGAGTTAGTTCGAAGCATGTTCATTGTGGATTGCTACAACTCTTGCAACATGGCCATTCGAAGGAATAGGTATCTGAGTATATGGATTGGAGTTGGAAGCTGCCATCTGGAGTGTGGGAAATCGATTAAAAGTACGAGAGATTCCTGTCTCATCGCCGGCTGTATGACTACTGTAGAAGAGGCGAGAAACGGAGAAATCAACAGGTTTATACCAAATAATTCTCACAATACCCTTCGCAAATGGATATGCCCTACACTGCAGCACCCCTTTGCATGTTCCTGCCACGCCATCATTCTTCTTCTTCTTTTTCTCGAAACTTGATTAAAAAAAGGCTCGGTATCAACGCTGTTCCTCTTACACAAGTGGAAGTTCAACTACACCTGGTCCTGCACACTCATCCATTGATATACCTTTCTCCACCATCGTCTCCAACTCCTTTGCACCCCACAATCAGCTCTCTCGTCTGTGACAACTCCTTGAAAGGTTCCTTCCTTGTCCCCCCCCACATGACTTTGGCATATCCATTGTGCATTATGCTGACTAATGTTACCCCCACATCCACGATAACCTCACTTCTCCTCTATGGAAATATTCTCGTATGATACAAAAGCCAGTATACCTCATACTGCTCAACTGTCGTGATCAGGAACAAACTCGCGGGAATTTGGGATACCTTGATGTGTCTATCGCCTGAAGTCTTTGCTTCGATATTCGTACCTGCGAGCAACAACCCCTTTGATCAATACCATCCTCTATAGCTATGGGGTCTAATGTTACTGTCATAGTGTATCTCTACTTGTAGGATATCGTATGTTTGAACGTTAGAGGCTGTTGATCAGCTTTCTAGTCTCGTTGGCTTTGAGGATTCAAACTGAATCTGAGGAGAGAGAGAAAGCTCATCAATGCCATTCATTAGAGATAATTTGCGATGAATGAAAGACAAAGGCGAGCAAAGGTCTCTCCAATGTCAAAATGTTATCGTATCTCACAATCTATTGATCACTTCACGTCTAAACATATCAAAGTGTTCATGTTGCAGCCACCATGGCATGGCACAAATCAAAGATGACCATCAATCGGTTCATTATTATTTAAACAGAAGTCAGCACAGGCTGCCAACAACTCCCTTCTCTCACCAGTCTTCGCCGTTTATCCCGGCTTCCTCTGCTCCTTAGCCGCCCTCGCCTTTTCCATCATGAAGAGGCGCTGCCCAAGTTCCTTTCGCACGAACCCCTGCCTCTTTATCGCCTCCCTGTCTCTTTCTCTTGCCCTGGACTTTTCCCAGTGCCCTGCCGCCTTTTCCAAGGAATTCTCGCTCGTCCATGTCCTCTCAGGTCTTTTGTGAGCCCATCTGAGTTTCCTTTTGATGCCTCTAGTGACCTCTAAACCGGATGACGCCGTGTTTTTCTTGAGTCTCTTTACGTCCTCGGTCCGGAAGCCCACATAGGGTGAAGACCTCTCGTTGCGGTTCGTCGTTTCCGCAGTCGTCGAGAGGGTGGTCGAGGGAGTGGTCGAAGGGGTCGGGCCGCGAAGGGGAAGTGAAACCATCTCGATGGGTTCCTCCGTTTCTGCGGTCGTCGAGGGGTTCGGGCCGCGACGTGAAAGTGAGACCATCTCGATGGGGTCCTCCATATTCATGGTCGTCGAGGAGGTCGAGAAACAAAGAGCACATAGGATGGACGCGAAGGTGGATGTGATAGCCTTCATGGTGTAATTGGAGGGACGAACGAGATTGTTTGGATTGAACGTTCGAAGTCGATGTGGTGAGTAATTCGACAGTATCTAATAGGCAACACTGAAGAGAAGAGAGGGTTTTAAATGTACAGAAGATGGTACAAATGGTTGACTTATATGGTAAGTCCTTAAAAAGTAGAGGTATCTCTTCAATCAATTGTGATAATATAATAAATTGAGGAGTATATCTTGTTCCGATCTTTTTTATTATTGATGGAAGAGATTGGATCAATTGGCGATAAATTTGTCAATATGAATGTTTGATATCAAATGTTGGAAGACTGCGATGTAAAGTGAAGAAGTTTTCACAGGAAGAATCAAAGGGGTATACAGCTTCGAGCAGACAAATTAGTCTTGTAAAATCACGAAGCTAAAGTTTGTCAAGCGTCAGTTCAATCCTGTTTAACTTTTTCTTGTATCGATGTCATTGGATGTTATCTAGTCCGGATTAGCAGGATAGTTCGCAGCTAGTGCTAGAGCTAGTAGTGGCGATGATGAATTCGGGATGGTATGATTTGATTATTATTAGGAGCACAATGTTCAATTTTCTTGCTTGAAAAGAGATGGAATGAACAAGATTACGATGGAGTATATACAGTGAAATGGGTGCAAATATTTGAGTGTAGAATGCTGTCAGTGGCAGGGTTTACAGTAAAATATTCGAGAGTTGACGAGGTGGTTCCCACTCTCATGAGTCTCAGTACCGAGACGCCATCCGTGGGGCCGGTACTAGTACAAGGCTTGTTTGAAGAAAAAAAGGTCAAGCTGGACAAGTTTCTTGAATGTTTACGCAATCTTCGAGATTGAGATGAATATGAATGTCATTGGATTTAGAGTATCTCTCAAGTGTATTTAGATTTGGAATAGTACAGTTTTATGTCAATCAATCAATCATTCTGGCTGCCCATATGATCTCAAGTCTTCAAATAATATTACATGATGCTATGATATCAAGTTTTTCAATTTTAGAAATTAGTGTGAAGATCAAAACGGGTTTAATCATTCAAATGGATCCAGATCCGGAATATCAATGCCCAAATGATTCTATTTTAACCAATTCTATAATCTCAAGTACCCAAGTATCGCTAAATCTTCTTACGGCTCTGGCTCTGATGCAAACAACCCCGAACAATCACGAACAGCCCTAGATATTCAAGTTTTTACACATCTATGCCAGCCACATCGTACCCAGTGACCAGTACCCAGTGCCCATTACCCACAAAACCTTATAATGCAATATGGCGAGTCAAGCTATCATGAGGAGTAGATTTTAGAGGCTACCTAGCTTACCGTCATCACATCCCAAGATCCTTACTCCAAATCCTCCTCTCCATCTTTCCAAACATACACTTCCTACACTAGCACTAGATTTAAGGCTATAGACTCAGTATAAGTAAGATCAACATCATCCACGCAAAATAGTAACTCTTCCACCCCCAGACATAATTCCACTTTCACCTTGAAATTATCATCCGCTCTATACTCATACTCATATCATAGTAAGTTAATACGAGTAACTACCCTCTCTAGCCTACCCAATCCCAATCCCAATCCCAATCCCGTTTCCAATCCCAACAACTAACAACCAACACCCTAAACCACCAATAAAAAACTTGAAAACTTGAAAACAAGGATTGATTCTACAACTTCTTGACTCCACAACTCCACAATTAAAGAAAGTCCTGATATGGTTGGTTACCATTGAATCTTCGATTAATACAATACCACTTTTCCTTTTACTTTTACTTTTACTTTTACTTCCAAATTCCAATCACATCTTACTCTTCCATCTTCCATCTTCCATCTTCCATTTTACATTTTACATTTTACATCTCACATCTTACCATAAAACTTCAAACTTCAAACTTCAAAACTTCCAAGACCTTTAAACCCTATTCTTTCTTCCCACCAGCAAGCAAAGTTTTAAATGATATATCTTCTGATCATGATAATTGATGATGATTGATGATTGATGATTGATGATGATGATGATGATGATGTGATTTCTTTTTTCTTACCTAACTAAGGTAATAGGTAGGTAGGTATACTTTGCTTCAATCACTAGCTATTTCTCAAGTTCTCTAGTTAGCAAAGCTCAACTCAAGGCTCGATATAGGTTAGTGAGTGGATGGATGGATGGATGGATGGATGGATGTGGATACTTTTTGTATAATGGGATTTTCTTTTGGGTACCGGTATATTAGTATCTGTTTGTAGTGTAGTGTACTATGCTGTATGTACTATATGTAGAGGATTTGAATTTATTTTGTGTTGTTGGTTACCTATGCTATGCTATGCTGTGCTATGATGCTATGGGTAGATATGGAGATTGTATTATAATGCAGGTATTGTAAGATTATAATACTCGAGTATTGATTGTATTAGACACATATCATAAGTACCTACCTACCTTACCTATCTATGTATGTAGACACAAACTCTTCATCTCACCACATTCACCACACTTACCACCCATTCTCTTCACCGTCCCGTATTAATGTTTTTATCTTCCATCTAATTTCATCTCATCTCATCTCATCTCATCCTTTCTAATCCCAAAACTAACTGTGGATTCCAACTTTTCATTTTATACTGTGTAGTAGCCTGCCTTCCTTTCTTAGTATTCTTACCGTTCTAATCATTCAGATGCTAATGTATAATATACAATTCACGCACACACGCACACACGCACACACACTTTATTCTATTTTATTCTATTATATCCACAATAATCCAAATTAAACCTAAATAGAAATAACCCAATGGACTATATCTTCCTACTTCCACATCATCCTCCCCTCCTGTGACCTGTCATATGTCATATCATTAATCATTTCCTCCCTCCCCAAAACCCAAAACCTTAATCCCATCTCCATTCCCATCCCCATCCCCATGCCCATTGCAATATAAAATATAAAGTTTCCCCTACCCTCCCCTACTCTACCACTCCACAACTCACACACTCTCGCACTCCCCTCCCCTACCCTACTCTACCACTCCACAACTCACACACTCTCGCACTCCCCTCCCCTACCCTACCCTACCCTACCACACTCCACTCCACTCACACTCTTCCACCCTACCACTCCAACAACTCCAACACTCTATAACTATCAATCACCACAACAGAATCTAATACCTAAATAACACCTAGATAATTTCCTTCCACAGCCCCAGCCTATCTATCCATCCAGTATCGATCTCATTACCTCTCACCCCTCCCTCATCCACCCGCAACTCAATACCCCAAAAGTATACCCAGCATTATTATTATATTTTCTCCCTCCATCTCTCTATCTCTCTCTTTCTCTCTCTCTCACACACACACATACACACACACACAATCATACACAATCACCACTCACCAACCACGACTCACTAACCTCAAAAAGCCAAAAACCAAAACCAAAATTTGATTTCAAAATAAATTGAAGTCAACTATTTAACTATTTAACTATCTAAAACCATGTAAACATTCCTCGAGAAAGTTCTTTGGTATCCATCATCCATATATGCACGCATATACACTTTGCAAGTATCTACTCGAGTATGTACGTCTATCTCTCTCTTTTTCCTTCAAATTGAAAAAACGCCTGCTACCCTAAAACCCTATGTTACACACCTATAGAAAGGTTGTGTAAAAGAAGAAGTATGTTGATTTCGCCATGTATTGTAACCATGCATCCCATCTCCCCCCAATCCATGCCATCCATTCATCCCTGAATTGAATCCACCAATCTAGCACTTAACACCAGTGCCAGCCTCCTCAAACATGGCAATTGTAGCACAGAAAGTGTTACGATTATCTTTGTCCAACGCCGCACTCTTTCCATCAATCGTAACCATATTCTCAACTCCGATGGTTGACAAGCCAGTGATATGAATACCACCGGAACCCTCGATGGAAAGCATATTAGTTTGACAGGTTTGAGTGGCCAAACAATCTTGACTATAGTTATCAAAGAAAGAATAAAGACCAGCGCCGGCGATGAAGATATCCTCAGAATTAACAATGCGAAGACCCCAGGCTTTGTTGACGAGCGATACACCGCTGAAGGAAGGATCAGCATATGCTGCATTGACAGTGAAAGGTGTCTTGGCATCGGGATTGGATTGAAAGTAAGGAGTTTCGGTTTGGATAGCTCCCATGAAGACGTTGGAAGCATTGGTCAATTGATAGTTGTAAAGAACGGAATGTTCACTGGCGGTACCGTACATCCAGGTCGGTCCTTCTTCGGAAGAAACCAAAACTCCTCTACCGTTGTAGATGTCGATTTGATTATGATCAGCGAGATCAAGTTCATGATCAGCAACCCAGAACCAATTGTTCTCGAGGTAGATTGAAGCCTTCTCGGTGACATGCAAAAGCATGAAAGCTCCAACACAAGCTGTATTGGCGGCAGCGGAAACGGTTGGGTTTTTGGCACAGGTGTTGGATTGAAGTTGAGTACCAGAACTGCCACCAATTCTTGTGTGAACATCCCACATTCCTGCTGAACCTTGTGAAGCCTCTTTGATATTCCACTCGATGAGTATAGCACCTGCAGCTGGACCCATTGTTTGAAAGACCATATCGGAGATCTCAACAGAACCAGTATCTCCTACTTGACCAACTTGGAAGACTGCCTTTGGGTTGTTTTGATCGTTGAATCCTTTGGCCATGATCATAGGCCAGATCTCTCCAGTGATCTTGATGTTCTTTGGAACTTTGATGGTATCAGTGACAACATAAGCTCCATGATCAAAGTAAACAATCTGATCAGTCGTAGCCTTGTCAAAAATTGCTTGAATCGCAGCAGTATCGTCAGTAGTTCCATCACCTTTAGCTCCATTAGACTTGACACTCAAGAAAGATGAGGCTGGTAAAGTCTCATATTGTGGCTTGGTGCGTCCAAATACTTTGCCAGTAGAATCCAAGAGAGTCGCGGGCTTGGTGACAGCAGTTTGACTACCTTGGATAGCCTTGCCAGTGTTAGCACCAGTATAAATCTTTCCTTGTGCCCAGGATGCGATCTTGGTGTTTCCTGCGAGGACTGTTGCTTTGGAAGTGGCATCATACACGGCAATTGGAACATTTGAAGAGAAGTCGACATTCTCAATAACAAGAGTGCCATTGGTTCCAGCTTCGGCGACATCGTAAATAGTAGAAATGCCAATTGGAGTATTTGTAATCGTGCTATCCATCAGTGTGGCCGATCCAACTGAGCGAGATGATGCACCACCAGCTGTCATGTCGAGACCTACACCACAGTTGTTGATCTTGATGTTTTGGAAGGTCCAGAGCCAGGCCCAATTGAGGTAGATGGCTGTTTGACAGTTGTTGAAGACCAAATTTCGTGATGTAAACTGTTGGCTACCAAGGAAGGCTCCATATTTTCCACCGTTGAACGTCAAATCGGCCATGAAACCACCGCTGCCATTGTCCATGAAAATTCCTTGTTGTGCGTTGGAGGTTCCACCGTCAGTTCTCATGTTGAAAACGATGTTTTGTAACGATGTAGCCTGAGCAACTTGCCAATGAATCCCACTACCAGTTGAAAAAGGCATAGCGGTCAAGTCAATGACAAAGTTCCTAATCTGACGATAAAAGTTATTCCTAAAATTCCAATAAGTATTTGTGATAAGACAATCATTCAACATGTGAACTCACTGATTGGTGAACCAGTTGTAGGGATCATATGGGTCCGAGTCGAGCAAAGCCATACCAGCAAAGCTAGGAAGGCCTTTGATTGTTGGAGGAGTAACGGCATCACCAACAAGTTGAGTAAAATATTGTTGTACAATGGGAGCTGAGATCGCATAAATTCCCGGTCTATAGATGAAGTTAGCATTGTATAGTAAGCTCAGTCATCAGAAAGAATAGAACTTCCAAGATGAGGTGAGGTAGTTGTGAAACCCAAGGTATATTGACTTACGGAAAGTAAACAATGGCGGGAGTGACTGTAGTTGAGTCGCAGCCTTTGCCACAACGATTTCCAGCAGAGATGGCAGCATTGATGGCTGCGGTATCATCAGTCACACCTTAATTGTTAGTATAATCCTATAATATTTGAACTGAGGAAGATTAAATTACCATCACCAACAGCACCGTATTTCTTGACATCACGGAATATTTGATATGAAGCATCACCATATGCGACAACACCTTGTCGTTGAATCTGATGTTGAAGTTAGAGAGTATATTCATTCCATGGCAGAGATGTATGTACTTACAGTTGAGAGCCAATAATCCCCGGTATAAGAAGTAGCCGATGTAGCTGCATCAGATGGGAGTGGTGAAGGAGCAGGAGCACCAGAAACAATGAAAAAGAAGCGTAGAGCCAATAAAATGGTGATAATCGAAAAGGAAGCCATCGTAAAGTAGGACCAGCTGCTGTAAGATGTTGTATTTGTAAAAGAATGTGATTCCTGTAAGAGGAAAAGGGTCAATCAGTATTTGTATTTTGATATTCTTGTTGTGCGTTTGTTAAGGAAAATGTTTTCCTCGTTTGCTCGGTTGCTTCTTGTAACTTTTGTAGGAAGGAACGACGACGGTTCGACTTGATACCAGTACCAACTAGTAAGATTATCCACTTTGTTGGAAGATTAAAAGTCGAAAATTCTATCAAAAGGATAAGATTTGATTCATTTGAAGGAGAATAGGTTAATGAGAGTAGGGGAAAGTAGGAAAAGTAGGAAAGTAGGGAGATTGGGAGGAGGCTAGCTGGTTGAATGTATATGTTATTGTGTTCGTCGTCTAAAAAGGAACAATAGGGATAAGCGGGATAATTGTGATTGCCATGAGGGGGTGAATCGAATTTCTGAAGCTATTCAAGTCATCCGACCTCATTTAATGACATACACAATAAGATAAACAATCAAACAATCAAACGATCAAACGATCAAACGATCAAACGATCAAACGACCAAACCACCAGACAATTGAAATTAAATTAAAAGCATTCGATTATAAATTCGATGCCGAGATGAGTACTCACAACTTTTGAATTATGTCGTCGAAAAGAAGAGAAAGTGTTAAAGAAAAGAATGCGTGACCGTCCAGTAGCTGTAGATTGAAGACTATTTTTATGGTGATGGCCCTTGGTTTTTATATCTTTTGAATCACATTCCTTCATTTCATCTGGTCTATCATCCCATATCTCAAACAAACCATTTTGAGCACAAGGTGAGACTTCCTTGGTATGTTCTCCATATTGTCCAAGCGGACTGCTAATAGGATAACCCATGACTTGGGGAGGAGGCTCTCGAAACCAATTAGAGCTATATCAGTGCATCACTCTCCCGAGAGCTTAATATGGCTATTTAAGTGATGAGTGCCTCAAAACTCATATACTTTCGCTTGTTTGGCAAAGGGACCATCCGAAATTCTTTACTTATTGCGATTTGATTCGACGTTGTCGTTTGTATTCCAGGTTGTTCTACCCAATTTGTTTGTCGGTGCTGCAGGGGTGCATTAATGCTCCCGCCGATGTGTCGACAGTAGAATGTGGATATAAATCAAGATGCTTGGTAGTCCCTTGTCAATCACATCCAGCAGCAGTGCCGAGAATATAGAGGGTCAAAGACTAAGTTGAGAATATAGAAGAGTTGAAACTTGGTGTTTCTGTACAAGATGTTGTTGTTGAGATATGATTGGCACTTCGGAGATTTGTTGTGGCGGCTCATGGTGTCTAAGCTACTCTTTACCTTCCCCTTCCAATATATTCAAGAGGATCTCTGAGATGGGATCAAGCTTTCAAGCGCGGAACATCCAAAGAATTATGGGGAAAGAATAACGGACGGATCTTATCGCATAACGCGTTGTCGATCTTTCTCCTCCTTTTTAATATAAAAAAATCTATTCTCCTAACCAAGGCCTCTTTTCTCCTTCCGTAGTTGTACAAGCACAACCTACAATGGATATTCAATATAATTTCATCTTGTCATTGGTGATTTAATGAGATACCGCCGCACGGTAGACTGTTGTGCCCATATTCAGGTTGATTAACTCTTGAATTTATTTTCCATACCACCTACAACCAGGAGGAATGACTTCCTCATCATCACGATCCTGCCGTGAAGCATTAGGCCGACACCCTAATTTATGCGCACAATCAACAAATGTTTCTTGGATTCGTTTCAGCTGAAGATTCTACTCAAAGCGTTGTTGGCTAATAATTGTTGAGGCTTCATTTGTGAAACACGGACTGTAGCAGGTTCGTTGTTTGGATGAATCGGGTTGGCACTTCTGTCCCGTTTCTATATATTTCCCGTAAGTGGTGATTTCCTCCCTTCCATACATTCTTCTAGATATAGTTTAAATGTAGGTGGCGCTGCATCTGTGCCGGTCCCTTGCACCCAGAGAAGAGACTTTCGCAATGTATGTTGATTTGATTGATACCACGTGACTATCTGGTTCTCCAAGTTCGTCTTTACTTATCAGGTGACTATGCCTATCCTCTCAACCCATTCTCGAAGACTTTGTTCTATTCTCAGGTACGGTCAAAGTGTATGCAGTTCTCCTATGCTGAACTCATCTCATATATGCCATTCATAGTCTAATCGTCGCTCAAAAAACGACGGAGCGTACGAGACGAGGAAACCTCAGAATGCATATATGCCCCCTCATAAGCTCATATTGGAACGCCATGTTGAAAGGGGTAACCGGTAGTTTTGTATTGGTTAATTGGCGGCTCATCGGGTCCCAGCTACTTTGGGATGGAATATATATTAGCAGCAGAGCCCTTCTGTAGCTCTAAACTGGCAAGTCGTTATGTTCTATTGTCACCAAATTTGCTGCGGTTTATCATCAAATCATTCACAATACAATTGGGAATTATTTCTTTATTCACTGCTATATGCCAATCTTATGTCTTTCAACCTTGAGAATGCATGCATCTTTAATAAGTGAGCCAAGTTCATTTAGCCAAGAATCAATCTCTCCTTGACAGGCGTGAATTATATTTTGGGTATTTCAATGGTAATGTAATTATCAACCGTGACATATCATATCGCGAAAGGGATGGGCAGCAGGGCTAGATCCATGATATTTTCCTAGGATAAAGATCTCTGGAAAGCCTCGGGAAGATAGGTAGGGAGTTGGAACAGGTCAAAGACTTAACACATATCGGAACGATTATCTCGGTGTTTGTCAAGTAATATATAACACCTTTTGGCAATTGCCCTTTTCCATGATATTATCCCCGCCAAGCCTTACAGTCAACTTCATGGCCTAGAAGTTTTAGAAAATAAAAGAAAATAAAATCTGCCACCAGTTCCCAGGCGGCCGCTCCTTGTAGAGCCGACTTATTATCACCGCCACCCACTCCACTGCATTGACCATGTGAGGCTGAAAAGAACCATCTCGAATCGAAACGCCATGAAGCTTCTCGATTGATACTTGAAAGAAAGAAAGGTAAAGAAAGGTACAGTAAATAAAAACTTCAAGAAAAACTTCAAGAAATCCCTCCAACTTACTAGAAGGTTCCGAGACACGTGATATTATTGTATTCAGGTACAAGCCTAGCCTCACCTAAGCGCCTCAATTTTAGAGCACAGCTATTACCTACCTAGTAGGTATGATTCAAAGTTTCTCCCCCGCTGATAAGGATGAGCCACCACAGCGATAAACAGAATATGGAGGGGAAAGGGGAAAGGGCAAAAAAAAAAGGTATGAGAAAATGTGATGGATTAATTGAAAGAAACTCTACATCTATCAAAGAGAAGAGCGATGCATTGATAGAGAGAGAATGAGGCCATCATATTGATTCAAATGCGTATTGATTGTTTTGTTTGCATTCAGCTAAAAAAGAATAATCCTTAAAAATATTCCTATACACCATTTGTCTGGCCTTGTAGAGTTTACTCTTCATCGATTGGTTACTTTAGATGTGGCGCCGTTGCTAGGTGGTCTAAAAAAGGTTAAGCGACGAAGAAGTTCCTTAGAATTCTACCATTTTCTAAAGCGACCCTTCCATAAAACCCCAATAACCTCCAACGAAAAGTCAGACTTCTTCTCTTCTTCAAACCACTCAAAGATACCCTTCCTTTCTACTTTGTCTATTAGACTTCTACAGTTCCCGATACCTTTAACGACTTCACGAATAACTTCAAATGTAAGTTCTATTCAATAATCTCTTTTCTGTGTTCTATACAACCTTTTGATCTAGTATCAGAAACCGTTTCGGGAGTTCAGCCTCGAGATAGAGAAAGAGCTTCAAGATTCTTCACAATCTGCCTGTACTCTACAAACGTTGTATACAAGATCAATAAGCTTGTACAGAATCAACAATTATCAAGAATTCTATACTAACATACCATCTCGCTATAGTTTCCCCGATTTCACATTTACAATCACAAACATGGCTGGCGAAACTTTCGAGTTCCAGGCTGAGATCTCTCAGTTGCTCTCCCTCATCATTAACACAGTCTACTCAAACAAGGAGATCTTCTTGAGAGAACTTGTTTCTAACTGTTCCGATGCTCTCGACAAGATCCGTTATGAGGCTCTCTCAGATTCCACCAAGCTCGACACTGGCAAGGATCTCCGCGTCGACATCATCCCAGACAAGGAGAACAAGACTCTTACCATCCGCGATACCGGTATTGGTATGACCAAAGCTGTAAGTACATTCGCAGATGGTCACTCTAGATAGTGTGCTAACAAATGATTAGGATCTCGTCAACAACCTCGGTACGATTGCACGATCTGGTACCAAGCAATTTATGGAGGCTCTCACCGCAGGTGCTGATATCTCTATGATTGGTCAATTCGGTGTTGGTTTCTACTCCGCATACCTCGTGGCAGACAGAGTCACTGTCGTCTCGAAAAACAACGATGATGAGCAATACATTTGGGAATCCAGCGCTGGAGGAACTTTCACCCTTACTCAAGACACTGAGGGAGAGCAAATCGGCCGTGGTACCAAGATCATTCTTCACTTGAAGGATGAGCAAATGGATTACTTGAACGAGTCAAAGATCAAGGAGGTTGTCAAGAAGCACTCCGAGTTCATCTCCTACCCAATCTACCTCCACGTCTCCAAGGAGACTGAGACCGAAGTCCCAGATGAGGAGGCTGAGGAGACCAAGGATGAGGATGATGAGAAGAAGGCCAAGATTGAGGAGGTTGATGATGATGAGGAAGAGAAGAAGCCAAAGACCAAGAAGGTCAAGGAGACCAAGATTGAGGAGGAAGAGCTCAACAAGCAAAAGCCAATCTGGACCAGAAACCCTTCAGACATCACCTCAGAAGAGTACGGTTCATTCTACAAGTCCCTCTCCAACGACTGGGAAGATCACTTGGCTGTCAAGCATTTCTCCGTTGAAGGTCAACTCGAATTCCGTGCCATCCTCTACGTCCCCAAGCGTGCTCCATTCGATCTTTTCGAGACCAAGAAGACCAAGAACAACATCAAGCTTTATGTTCGTCGTGTTTTCATCACTGATGATGCCACTGATCTCATCCCTGAATGGTTGAGCTTCGTCAAGGGTGTTGTTGACTCTGAGGATCTCCCACTCAACTTGTCTCGTGAGACTCTTCAACAAAACAAGATCATGAAGGTCATCAAGAAGAACATCGTCAAGAAGGTTCTTGAGCTCTTCCAAGAGATCTCTGAGGATAAGGAGCAATTCGACAAGTTCTACGCTGCTTTCGCCAAGAACATCAAGCTCGGTATCCACGAGGATTCTCAAAACAGACAAGCTCTTGCCAAGCTTCTCCGATTCAGCTCCACCAAATCTGGTGATGACATCACCTCCCTCTCCGACTACGTTACCCGTATGCCAGAGCACCAAAAGAACCTTTACTACATCACTGGCGAGTCCCTCAAAGCTGTTACCAAATCACCTTTCCTTGACTCTCTCAAGGCAAAGGACTTTGAGGTTCTCTTCTTGGTTGACCCCATTGATGAGTACGCCATGACTCAACTCAAGGAATTCGAGGGTAAGAAGCTTGTTGATATCACCAAGGACTTCGACCTTGAGGAGACCGATGATGAGAAGAAGGTTCGTGAGGAAGAGGAGAAGGATTTCGAGGGTCTTGCCAAGTCTCTCAAGAACGTTCTCGGCGATAACGTTGAGAAGGTTGTTGTCAGTCACAAGCTCGTCAACGCCCCTTGTGCTATCCGTACCGGTCAATTCGGTTGGTCTGCTAACATGGAGCGTATCATGAAGGCTCAAGCCCTCCGTGATACCTCTATGTCATCATACATGTCTTCCAAGAAGACATTCGAAATCTCTCCAAGATCTCCAATCATTAAGGAGTTGAAGAGAAAGGTTGAGACTGATGGCGAGAATGACCCAGCTGTCAAGTCTATCACTACTCTCCTGTTTGAGACTTCTCTTCTCGTTTCTGGTTTCACCATCGAGGAGCCAGCTGGATTTGCCGAGCGTATTCACAAGCTTATCTCAATGGGTTTGAATGTTGAGGAGCCCGAAACAACCGAGGAGGACGCCACCGCCACCGAGGTAACTTCGGACGTACCAGTTGAGAGTGCTATGGAGGAGGTTGATTAGATTCCAAAAAATGGCTTGTTTTGCGGGATAGTGGAGTTTTAATGGTTGGTTTTTCGGTCATGCATTGAGCCTGCTTCCTATTTCTCTCTTGATGCCCTCATTTTTCCTTTCCACATGGTTTTAATACATGAGGCATAATCTTAAAGAATGTACTTTGTGATAAACATTGCGCGTTAAGACAAAGAGGAAAGAGATAGCAGAATACAAAATATTTACTGTACCTTTGTGTATTCAATTGATTTGCTTTTGAGTGACAATGTTTCGAGTGACGATGCACCTTTTCTCCATTCTTTTATATGTGTGACAATGCATTCTTCACCTTTCTTTCCATTTCATGTACAAGTGATAATGAAACTTTTATCGTTTATATCATGTACAAGTGTACCCAGAAACCCTTTTTATGAAGGAGGCGCGGATCCACTTGAACCGGATACGGCATCTTGAGCTTCGACCCCCTTCGAGGCCTTGGGATGGCAAAGCCACACATGCACAACATGACATCTGGGAAAATGACTGGACTGGGCTGGGCTTGGGACTTTTATCGATTTTCGGTACTACGTTCCACGTTCCATGCACAACATCAACATGCTCATGCTTATGCTTATGCTCGTCATCTGCTATCTGCTGCTCTGCTATCTGCTAATTCCAATAGACTGGTTTTGGGGTTGGGTTTGAGTTGGGTTACTGGTTTGGGTTACTGAGACTAATGCAGGTTTAATTTGCTTGGGTCAGTTACGAGTTACGAAGGAGGGGTTGGTTGGTTGGGAAGGGGGAGTATGGGAAGGTGGAGGGTAGAGGGATGAGCATGGTTCTTTCCTTGATGGGGCTTGTGTTTTGTATGGCTTTTGTCGTATATGGAATGAATCGATAGATCGATTTAAGTTTATCGATTGCGGGGATACGGTTGTGATTAGTGATCATGGGAGGGTGTTGTCCCGAGTGGCTGAAGTATAGAGATGGAGATAGAGATGGAGATGAGATTGGGAGGGAAATTGGGAGGGGAATTGAGCTTGGGTTTGAGATGATTGTTCTTTCTTGGGTGGGATTGGATTTCTCGGGGTTGGCATGGTATGGTATGTACGCTATATTGGATTGAATTTGATTGGGTTGAATTGAATTGGATCGGATTGGACTGGACTGGATTGGTTTAGGGTATGCGTGGTGTTTGTGGTGAGGTACGACTATACTATACTATACTGTACTATACGAGTACGAGTTCTTGGATGGGAACTCAATAAACTCGGTGAACATGATGAACTTGATGGGGAAGGTACGATAGATGTGATGGATGGGTGTTCGTAGTACGCTCGCTTTTGGGATACTACGATACACACCTTCCTTCCTTGATGAATACGGAAAGTATCAATTGATTGATTGATGCACTAAGTTGTGGGTATAAAGTGTTGATGTTTCTTTTGCATTTTCGGTTTGTATTTCTGAATTCTGTTCTTCATACACACACACACACTTCGCTTTTACTTGGCCTTGCTGCTGCTGCACTCTTTTTTGAGACGCTTTTGTTGAGATACTATTCGGTTCGATATTATACGATACGATACGGTACACTCGCTGTTTACAATTTGTTTGAATTCTCGATTTATTCTCCTCTCACAATTTGATCTCCTGAATCAATTGCAATCAATCAATCACTTCACCTCATCTCATCTCATCTCACCTCACCTTCCTCACCTCAATCACCAACAACTCCACAAACCATGCATCAAAAACTCCTCCTCACAACGCTCCTCCTCCTCCCAACTCTCTACGCAGCGCCCGCCCCTGCTCCTGTCCCAGCACCTGCACCCAATCCAGACACCGAACACTATTCCTACTCCCCACCCTCCCCCAGTCTCTCCATTCCATCTCTCCCCCTCCCACCTCTCCCCACCACCCCTTCCCTCTCATCCTCTTCGGGTTCCGGTTCAAGCGGGGGTCTGGGTGGTCTTGGTGGTCTTTTGGGCGGTTTACTCGGAGGTTTGGGAGGTTTGGGTGGAGGTGCTGGTGCTGGTGCTGGTGCTGGTGCTGGTGCTGGTGCTGGTAATGGTGTGGTTCCGTTGCCTGCTGTTTCGATCATTCCTGCTGGTTCAATCATTCCTGGTGTGTCGGTGCCGTCGTTGCCTACTAGTAGGTATATTCCTACGCCTGTTCCTGTTGTTTCGGCGACGATTCCTGTTGGTGGTGGTGGGGGTGGGGTTTCTATTTCGGCTACGCTTCCTGTTGGTGGTGGTGGTGGTGGCTTGTCAATTGCTGCTGGTGCATCGGCTTCTGCTACGCTTCCTATTGTATCTGCCTCGCTTCCAACTGTTGGTGGTGGCTCAGGATCGGGATCAGGATCGGGATATAATGGTGGTGGTGGCAGTGGCGGTGGAAGCAGTGGCAGTGGAAGTGGACCAAGCATATCTGTTTCCGTCCCACTTCCAGGCATATCTGCCTCCGTCACGATACCAAGCGTAAGTATTTCCGTCGGTGGTGTTGGAACTTCCGATCCCGTTTCTACTTCGCTACCTGGTGCTACAATCTCAGTGACTCAACCCGGTGGACCAATCATTCCAACTTCTGTCACTGGTGGATCTGATGGTTCTGGTGATGGTAGTTGTGCGGCTAAGGATTTATCGACATATACACTTGTGATTGCAACCGCGATTCCCGAGACCAGTACTAGTATTTCGCTTTACACAGTTCCAGTTGTTCAAACCATTTCTACAAATATTGTGCAGGTTATTTATCAGACGATTACTGTTCCTACTACTGTGTTTAAGACGAGTCAGAGTACGGTCACTACTACGATTGTTGCAATTTCTACTTCTACTAGTGAGCTTTTCCTTTTCTTCCTTTCTTTTTCATGATTTGTTGTTGGCATGTCATAGACATCATGACTAATAATGATAATAGGTCTTCAAACTTCTCTTACTGCCATCTGCCAAGGCGGTGGTATAGCTCCTACACAATCTGTTTCTATTCCAGGTGGATCCAGTGCCAATGGAGCTGCAAGCTCAAGTGCACCAGGTGCTACTATTAGCGTTGGACTTCCAGGTGGTGGATCTAGCGGTAGTGGTATCACGACCCCAGGTGTACCAGGGGCTACCATCAGCGTTGGACTCCCAAGTGGAGGAAGTGGAGGTGGAGGCGGTGGAAGCCCAAGTGGAAGTGGAGGAAGCGGAGGTGGATATTACTCAAGCGCTGGATATTACTCCAGAATCTAATTGATGGATGTCCATGGATGATTGAAGAATCCGAGGTATATGAGATGGAATATGATGGGCTCAGATTGTTTTCAATTTTGCGGTCGATGTTGCACACACAACTTGCTATTTTTCATATTT